GGATTCTGAAATTTCTGAGTTTTAGGCCTCAAAGATCTTAAATATAAAAATATATATATGTACGAGGCCTTAATATACCTTTAGGTAGTTTTAAATTAGGTTGATGTGAATGCTTCTTTTGCATTATTTTTGCAAAATGTTTCGGCAGCATGCATAGTTTGTAATGTCTCTGTGTTAACATATAGGTATAAGCAGATATAATTTAACAAATTTTGGGACTGTGATATTCCATTATATGTCATTCTTGACATATATCACCTTCATTATTTTCTAAGAAGTCTTAAATTAATTTTTTGGAAACCTGCAGGAACCCTGAAGTTACACTGAATCAGTGTCTCCAGTAGAGCTGCAACAACTGATTTATTAATAATATAATAATTATTATTGAAGCAAAGAGGCCAGAAATTCAATTGTTGGTTGGACAAAACAAGACATTTGAATATGTTTTTCAACATGTTTAAACATCACATTTACAAACCAAACAGCTGACAAGCCTCTCCATTCACAAGAGTGTCATTCTTCCTCTTTCTGTAGCCCAAGAAGAGAGGCTGGCCAAAGGGAAAGAAAAGAAAGAAGGTGCTACCAAATGGTCCTAAGGCACCAGTAACAGGGTATGTGCGCTTCCTGAATGAGCGGCGGGAACTTATGAGGGCCCGATACCCTGACTTACCTTTTCCTGAAATCACCAAAAGACTCGGAGCAGAGTGGACACGTTTAGCTCCAAATGACAAACAGGTAACATTTTATGTTTAAAATTAACACAGTATATTCAGTGCACCAGGTATTTAATGATACTTTCTTACTGGTCCTGTTGGAGTCCATGGTGACTCATGGAAATCCAGTCAGGAATATAATAGAAGGTGTTATTTTGAAAACACCTGTACTTTTAGCAATTACAACATATTTTTATGATAACATTTAAAAGATTTTCAAACCTCATGGTTTAATTTCAAAAATTCAAAAAAATCAGGAATGTGTCATAAAGCAAGTTAGATTTTTTTCCCTCAACATCATTTGTGTACCGGCAGCGCTATCTGGACGAGGCGGAGCGGGAGAAGATGCAATATGCACAGGAATTGAAGGAATATCAGCAGACTGAGGCCTATCAGATCACCAGTGCTAAGATACAAGACAAAAGGATCAAGAAAGGTGAACACTGACTTCTATTCACCTAATGTTTATCATGCTGACTACTGTTGTGCACGTGTGTTTTTATTAGTTACCACCTGTAAAATAACCACCGTCATCAGGGCAACTGGCAAGATACTGTATATTATTATTCAACTTCTCTCTTCCATCTGAGCTGTATTATGGACATAAAGTTTTCTCTTTCAGAAGATGCTCCATCTGTCATCATCAGTACTAGTTCAGGGTCATCTTTACCAAAGGTACACTAACTTGCGACCACATATTCTTAAATATTTTTATAGTGTAAATTGCACAAGCTGAGTTGTGCATTTTGTCCTCCAGGCTTCTGACCTCCCAAGTAGATTTGACATCCCTATCTTCACAGAGGAGTTCCTGGATCAGAACAAAGGTAACGAAAACCTGAAAATGGAAATAATCACCTAACAAATAAAGTACAAGGCAGTGTTTACAGAATGGCTAGGTACTAATGCTAGGACAGAATTGTGCCATTACTTAATTGACTAATAGGACATTAACAGAGGTGGGGCCTGGACATCATGCTATGAGAGGTGATCACATTGATGTAAAGCTTTTCAGTTTTAGTTCTACCAGCACACAATCATTTTTCATTTCACTCTTTGCTGTTTCAGCTCGAGAGGCTGAGTTACGGCGACTTCGTAAGGCTAACATTGAGTTTGAGGAGCAGAACGCAGTGTTGCAGCGGCACATCAAGGACATGTACAACGCCAAAGAGCGTCTGGAGGCTGAACTGGGGCAGGATGAGAAGCGCACCCAGGCTCTTCAGCAACACTTACTGGCCATTAAACACACGCTGGTTAACAGCCTCTCATCAGTCCCACTGCCAGGTCAGCAGGCAGGAGGCTGCATAAAAAACTGTACTGTCCTAGGAACTTTTATATTAGTGCTTAAATTCCATATTTTCCATTTGAAAAATCAAATATTCAATAATGTGTGACCTTGATTCCTTTTTGTGATTCTTTTTTTCCTTGACAGGTACAGGTGAGACAGCCTCTCTTGGGAACCTGGACTCATACCTGAGTTGTCTCAGCGGCGCGCTTGAGGGAAACCCACACAAGCACCGTGCCCTGCTCACCCAGCTTTGTGAGGTCCTCTCTCATCTTGACAGGTAACTGAAACCTCTTTTACATTCATACCGAGGGCATGTCACACCAGACTTGTGCATTTAATCTGTATTTGACCACTGGTACATATACTGATCACGGACATGTGACACTTTGTTCACTTATTTTGTGCACACACACGCATGCAGCTATTCCAGCACCATAATCAACCCTGAGGTTATTCAAATGAAAGTTTTAAAATGTTTTATCATCATCAAAAATGGTTGAGGTTCTGTATAGTAAATTTCCTCACCGGTCAAAAGTTAGAGAAACACTTTACCATCAAGTTCAGGTGTCAAGAAGATAAAATTGTATAATATACTCCAAAATATTTAGTAATCTTTGTAGTTTGAACTGGTCAGAGAGAGAGAGAGTCGCACACTATCATTAGACCTTTGTCTATCATGATTATCCTTGTTCAAATTCTGAGCTCTCAGGTTTTGCAGACCATATTTAAATTGCATCCCTGAATGTCTTCTTCCTCTGTGTGAATGCACTATTTTCTTGTCAGTGAGAAGTTATGAGGAGACTCCATCTGAAGAGCCTTTGATTCCTGCAGCAGAGCGACACGTGATGGACACGTGGTATTAGCTCAAATTAGTGCCATTCAACAACGCACGTGGCTATCTCAAGGATAGTGAAGACAAGGGTACAACACTTCAAAACACCACATGACTTTTCTTTATTAATGTGTGTATTCACACATTATTTTTTTTGTGAATGTAAATCTGTGGGGTGGTGTTAAGGGTTTTTACAGTTCAGGAATTTCATTAAATGTAATTTTACCTTCTCGGATGCCATAAGTAAATTTAGATTGACCCTAACTCTATTGTGTAGCTTTGTATCAACAGTTGCTCACCGGTCCTATGAGCTGTCCAATAAGGCCAGACTAACAATGAGTTTACATTAAATGCCGTAAGGTATGTGGTGGGTGGGTGGGTGTACATAGTGTTATTTAGACTGCATGGAGAAACAAATGGGAAGGGATCGAAATGTTAGGGTTTACTGCACATGTTTGAATTTACATCGATGATGGCGGGTAGTGGGATCGATGAGCAGTTTAACATGTTGTCAGAATATTATATATTTGTGAAGTATATTTGTATTTTTCTTAAATGTTCATTAAAACATATTGAAAATGTTTCCAACAACATGGTGAGTATGTGCAGCTTGAATTGTTTTAATTGTCATGGGTGCGTTGTTTTATCCTAAGTTTAAATCCAATCCCAGAACAACTTGCGTGTTTACATACCACCTAAGGTAAAATGTGCTTTTTTATGGTTTTAGTGCTCTTGACCCCAAGGACTGTAAAGATGTAAAGGGTGTTGTGTACCAGCAGGGGGAGCTGTTGACCCTCACAGCAGAAGCTAGACCAGAGTTAAAAGGTGTATCTCTTTGTTTTTGTGTTTTTTAATTGACATTGAGATTATCTGTTTCAAATATGCAACACAGTTTAACACTGAATTTAAAGATTGAGACTGACTTAGATTTTGTCAATGAGAAACTCATTCAGTCAGAGCAAGGCTCAAAGATTTATATCTTGCACCAATTACGGGCGGCTGTGGCTCAAGAGAGTCGTCCACTAACACTAGTAGGTCGTCAGGGTGAGCCCAGTCTCCCATAGTCTTCGCAGCAAAGTGTACTTGGTGTATGAGCGATGTGTGAATTGAGAGAAATTTCTGCACATAGATGCACTGTGTGTATGAATGGCAAAAACGGTACTGTGGAATGCTTTGAGTGGTCATCAAGAATAGAAAACGTTACATAAATACAGCTGTTTACCATTTAATAATAATATTTTGTCCTTTTCTATAGTCACCAACAGTCAATCTGCTTCCAGTTAATCATCACCCAACTACATCACCTCATATTGGGGCTCCAATTATTTTCATCATTGTTTAATCTATCTAATTAGCCCCTTGATGAATCAGTTGGTTCATAAAGTTTCAGTGTGTGTGTGTGTTTGTTCATATACCTTGATTCTTTTTAACTTTGATGTATAAGAAGATACATTTTCTTTAACTAACTGATGCTTGATAATTCTTGCCCAGTCAGCTTCTTTTGGGGTTCTATTGGAGCCCCAGCTGACATCTGACTGACCTGTGAAATGAGTCCTGTCAATGGTACAAGTCACTTACTAACAGTACTAATGTTAAATATGAGAATTTTTGAAGATTTTTCTAATCTTCAATCTGCTTGAACAAGGAACTTTTTTCAAAAGTATCCATTGATGAAGCTATAGAGTTAACAGTAAACAAGGAATGATTTAAATGTGGACCTCAGGACTTGGATGTTGGACATATAATTGGCCCCTCTTTGTAAATTGTGTCCCCTTTATGACCCCTGATCTAGATCTACCCCTTTCAGAGGAAAACGTTTTTTTAAACATCAAACTGATGTTCCAAAGTTTTGGGTTACCTGGATTTAAGGTATGTACGATGGTTAGCAGTTATAGTAGTTCTTTCTTTTTATTCTGCAAAAAGTAGTCTTATCCATTATGGCAGTGACTGAAGAAGAATTACAATATTCCCAAAGAGACAGTGGAGAGTTAAAAGTTATAAAGTCTCAGGACCTAAAGAACAACTCTTGAATAGATGTCTGCTTGTTCAAACAGACGAACACACACACCCCCCACCACAGACCACCGCCCTGACGTCACTGCCAGTAGCTGTCCACGCGGCTGTGGTGCTGAAAGCTGAACAAGATGGCTGAGTGCTGGGGAGCGGAGAGCTGAGACAGAGAAGGTGGTCGGGGGGTAGAGTCTCAGATTTGGACAGACGCGCCATTAAACCGGGGACAGACGGGTTTACCACTCCGGAGCTCGCCCTGAAACAGCGAAGAGTTGATTTACCGAGCAGCGGAACGAGCCCCGCCAGGCCCCGGCTCTGCTGCCGACGGCAGGCTTCTCCCCATCAGCAGCCCCGCGACCCTCTCCCCGGCTGCACTGCTGCCCAGATTAGCTCAGTGAAGGAAAGCTGGTGAAGAAGCTGGACCCGGTGCCAAAGGCGCTTATAAGAAATGTCATTGCTGTGTGTTGGAGGTAAGAGCAACGAATGAGCAATAATCTGGCACGACTACCTTTCGATTTCCTCCACCTTAAGTAAATCCACGTCGCGTCTTGTCGGCTTTTGGTGGAGGGGTTGACCTGTGAGGATGCATCCATAACTGTTGGGGAAGAGCTGCTACGCTCATAAATGTCTTTTGCAGTTTATTTCGTGCACATCTCACTAATAAGGCGAATACTTCCCATCATCACCTATCGTGTTTGAATATCTTTTACCCTGATATTCATTCCCACTGTCAGCCATGAGCACGACCTGCCTGCCGGGGCTCATTTCACCAAACCTGGGATCACTACAACATTTAAGGATCGATTTATGGTTTCGGTGTATTCTTTCTGGCAGCCGCTGTCAAACGAGCTAAAACCAGATGTAGGTTGCTCCACTCGCAGTTTATGCCTGCATGTGTTTCACGACTCAAAGTCTTCACTGGTGCAGACGTCTCCTCAGTTTTCATGCATAAATGTGCCAAAAAAAAGAATCAAATAAAAGGTTTCTTTACAGTAGGATTTTAAAAAGAGATTCGATTTTTTAAATTATCGTTCTCCTTTGATTGAGCAACAACAACAACCACAGTCTGTTGTGCTTTAGAACAATTAAATATTCAAATGGTTGTTTTGGTTTCCTTCTAAGCCTGATTTATAACAATGTCTGCTATGACTTCTTTTCAAATATCTTCCTCTGGTCACTGATGGTGTGTTTGTAATTTTCAGTCAAAGGTCCAGTGTGTAAGATTTAGCTGAAAGGAAACTATTGGCAGCAATTTAATGTAGAATAATCCTCATGATGATTTCACTAGTTCGTTTCATCTAAATTGTATGAATTGTAGTTTTCTTTACCCTAGAAAAAGCTGGTTATATTTAAATACTTCATATTTACATCGAGGGAGTCCTCACTACGGAGGCCGCCATGTTTTTTACAGTAGTCCAGACTGGACAAACTAAACACCTTTTGAGTTTTCATGACAGCTGAAGGCCTCCCCTTCCAAACATTTTTCATGTTTGGAAGGGGAGGGTGAGGTTAGGGGTATCCAGCTGCAACATGTAATTTCAACACTAGATATCACTAAATTCTACACACTGTACCTTTAAGTCTATATGGCTGAGAAATAGAACCTGGACCCCAAATAAATCTAGTCCTCTGATTGACAAACCTTTAAATGTAATTTGTAGGCTATTAACAGTACATTTAGTGTAATCCTGTGAAGTTTTGTAGTTGTGTTGTTTTTGATTGATTTATTATTCAGGTTTGATGAACATCTTTGTATCAGGAGCTTTGGAAAAGTGAGTGAAGGCCTCCATTTATCAAAATTCACTTTCTTTTAATCAGGAGTCCTTTGCTATCAGGTATAATTTAAAACATTTTGATAAATGGAGGCCTTCACTCACTTGTCCGAAGCTCCTGATAAACACAAGGGGAAAACTGGGTGGACAGATTTCTACAAATGTCAAGGGAATTAAAGAGGCCCACTATTATCCTGCAGCGGATCTCCTCCAAGCACCCTAATAACGCCTGGTCAGCTGCAGATTTGGGAACCGAAAGTTTAAACCACTTAAGACAGCTTTAGATTAAAAAAGAAATGTTAAGAATCTGAATTTGTTGATTTATTATGGTTAGAAATGCTCCCCCCTTGTAAGGTTTTATTTACACATCCTCTATAGGAGCTGACTTAAAATGTTTATGAAGATGCTGCTTCTGTGTGTTGACACCATCTGATTGCACAGATGTCAGGATTGAGATTCAGGCTCATTGATGGCCCCTTTATGTCCTGAAGCTTTGTTGGCATAGCAACCCCATTGGTATTTTAGGTCTCTGCTGGCATTTTCTCATTAGTCCCTTCACTCTCTGTTGCAGGCCTGCAGCTAGGTTTATACTGATATTATATTTTTTCACTGTGGCTGTGAACAGAATGAAGCTATGAAGAGGATGATAAGTATAGGTGTTCACTTTGGTGAAACGGTTTCAGGCTGATATGAACGTTGCAGCAGCAGTGATGGGACATTGCCTGTGTATGCGCTGCTCCCATGTCTCGAGGTGTTAGATTTAGTCTTTCAAATGATAGCCTGTGTCACACAAGCTGATTAAGCATATTCAGATCTGACAGCTCTCCAACTGTCATCCCCCATAGCGAGATATAAATTCACACGTTACAACTTTATCACAGAGCAAGTCATGTCAGACGTCTTTATTACTTTTGCTTTTTTGCATTAACATAATTACCTTCAGCAAGGAGGTTATGTTTTTAAGTTTTGGTGCAGATCTGGAGCAAGGTGACAGATCCAGGGTTTTTCTCTTTTAACATTCCTTAACATTGCAATATTTGAAATTGTCAACATTTTCATTGATTTGTCAAGGAATCATAGGCAAGAAAACTCAAACAAAATTAGAGAGTTGGTATCTGTGATTCTGTGCAATTCCATGTGGATGCAAATAGAAATCTGTATCTAGTGGTTTTAAACTTGGTTTAGGTTTGTGGGTTTTTGTTCAGCCACTCTATCAGGGCTAGAAACGTGTAACCTCCAACAATGTGTGGCTGAGAAATGTAAAGTGGTCTTAGCTGTAGGTTTGTTTTGATTTACAGAGACTGTTGGGCCTTGGCGGAGGTTCATGCTCTACTCAGTGCATTTCTAATATATGTGATCAGATCATTAAGAACCTTGGTAAAAGTAGTCAGCATGTCACAATAATATAAGTTAACATCAAACCATCCAACCACTGTTGTTTTTGTTGTCTTGTGACTTTTGAAATACAGTGCTTTATTACTGTCGCTACTATGGCACTCAGAGGAATGCATCCGGCCGCCAAGAAAAAAAAGGAAGAAGTGGGACAATCTGCACCAGTTTGTACAAACTCTTAGATCTCCACACCATAGATATGTCTGATTTTTTAACAATTCCTTATTTCCCAAGACATTGACAAAAGTCTGCGGTGTTAAAAGGAAGTTAGGAAAAAAAATCCTGGTTGTTTCCTGGCCCAGTTCCTGTCCCTCCACCATGTTGAGCACCAATCATTTCAGTGACTTTGTGTAATCCTGTTCACAAGCAAAGGGTAGCAGTGAAAACCAAACTTCCTAGGTGAAGTTAATAGAGTTAATAATGATTGTAATTCTGGAAATAGGAGCAACCGGGTTTTATTGTAAATATCCATAGTAGATAAAACATAGCATTCATATTCTGTGGTTAAAGATGAAAAGGCACCAGCATTACAAACTGTTTATATCCTCTATTGTGTCTCAAGTTTGATTGCTAAGCTACTTAATTAGCAGACTTTAATTAGTGCTTATGAGACAAGTGCAGTCACCAGTGACCTCAGCACTTTTTTAACAGTTAAACTCTAATCAGCATCACTAACATACAGTATTCCCTCAGGTGTGGTGCAGGTGCTGAATGTTATCCAGCAGAGCAGACAGGAGCACACTGCAACCACCTCTCACTTTTACTAAATCTGTAGTTTTTTCCATCCATCTCCTGTCTACAGGTTTATATTGTTTTGCCTGGTGTCGAATTCTGAGCTGTGGCCTGTTTGAAACCTAAAACAAGTCCCTTTAGTTCTTCTGCACACAGGCATCAGTTAAGGTATTTGTCCAATTTTTACCCCAGTAAAGAAAGAGAAAACGAGATCCTGTAATAACTGTGGTGGGGACTCCACCTTGTTTGGTATTTTTCAGAAAATATGTTACACCTACTGCCTTCTCCTCTCTCCTCTGTGCTGTAACCACATCGATGTTGGTTTAGTCTCATGCCTGTGAGCTGTGAGCACCCCACCCCCCTTTTCCGGCAAACCCCCCACCCACCCTTGTCACACTGAAGTGGTTATTTTTAGTGTTGGGGATGCAGCACGCTCTGCTCGCATCCGGCTGCACACAGAGATTAATGGAGCACGAGAGAAAGAGATAGAAAGGGAGCACACGTGCATACTTGCCACATTGCAGGGGAAGCTTGTAGGAGCAAGTGATTGAGAGAGAGAGAGAGAGAGAGAGAGGAGGATGACGACTGGCTGATGGTAAGGGGGGCGCAGCGTTTGAGAGTGTTGGCAAGGGTGCAGCCGAAGATGCATCTGTCACTTACTGTCTGTATGAAGCAGAAGAAATAATACATTTGAATGTCTCTTTTATAAATGTATGTATTCGGTACTTCCACCGAAATGAACCCCCTGTACCCCCTTAGGCGTGACTGCCCCTGACAGCAGCTTAAATACCAAGAGGGGGATTTCACTTTGAAGTTGGATAAGTAGCACATATGCTCTACCACACCTTGTACTCCGACACCTGCCTCATGAATCAGAGCATTATTTAAGTGATAAGCAGGATCCCAAGGGGGTTTGCTGGGGTTAGGCTATTTTAGGAGCAAATTTGTCCACAGTGATTATCATACCTGCTCGGCTGTCACCAACTCTGAATGTGTTTCTTTATCAGCATCACTTTTGCAACTGTAATTTTTCGTAATTTAATAAGTCGGAGTGTTTATTTATATATTCAGCTCCTTCTATTTTGAACATTTGCGCTGTAGGTCATACATTTTGAAACCATTCTTCTTACAGCCACACACACTCAGATGATTTATCAAGGGCTTGTTGTTGTGGCCCGATTACATTGATTTTAAATGATGCTAGGTCGCTGTATTTCTTTGCCTAAATGTAACATCAGTGAAAAGAGGCAATCAGCAGGGATTAAAAAGCAGAGCTGTGAATATTAATGCCTCACTGCTGAACATGGGGACGCTGGGCATCGACAGGGTGCAGGACAGAATGAATAATGGAATGGCTCCTGACGTCACTGTGGCTATAAAAGTCAGTCTGGTTCCTCCAGAGGTCCCTGTGTGGTGGAGCCGGCAGCGGCACCTCAGCAGTCCTTTTATCCATCACCCCCTGTCGACAACCTCGCAGGAACTCACACACACACACACACACACACACACATCATAGAGGCATGTGGCCGCTCTCCCCCCTGGCATCACCTTTTCACTGTCACCTGCACAAACTGCCCTCCTGGCCCCCGTGACTCAGAGACGCTGAAATCTGATGAACAGATGCAGTCTTTCATATTGAGATCCTGGCATTCTGCCCAAAGAGGATGGTGGTGTCCCAGGTTGAGAAGAACACCACCCTCCTCCTCTCCCTCTCTCTCTAAAATGCCAGGCGCTTGTCAATCACCAACCAGACAAACCTACACACAAGCTACAGTCAGTGGTCTGGCTTGACTGTAGGGTAGAGTCACACGACACTAAGCATAAGACGAGCCTTCATGGAGTCACTCAGAGCTTCTTTTACAGCATAGAAATGTGAAATCTTATATCTTCTATAGCCTATAACCCATATATATATATATAATTATCTTCGACAAGAAGGTTATGTTTTGTCTGCGTCTGTTTGCTTATTATTCAGCAGGATTCTGCAAAAACGAAATATCTCAATACCACGATTTTCAACATTTCTGTTAATTTCTAAAATATCAATTCATGGGTCTTGATGAAAAAAGCCGGTATGTTTGGGAGACTGATATTTATAAGTGTGTGCAATTTGGTGCAGTGCCAAAGTGTATGTCTGATTCTTTCCATGGATTAATTTCTCCACTGTTTTCTCAATTTGTTTCCAGTGAAGAAAGCCAAGCTTGATGGACCCCAAGGTGAGTAATGGCCTTCAACCTGTGGAGATCAGCCATAGCTTATTTATTGCCGTTGAATTCCATTAAACACATTAATTGGTAAACAACACAATTTGTATTTTCCTTTTCCACAGAGAAATTTAACACATACGTGACCCTGAAGGTGCAGAATGTTAAGAGCACCACCATCGCTGTGCGCGGCAGTCAGCCGTGCTGGGAGCAGGACTTCATGTTGTGAGTGATTCTTGCCCGTCTCTCCGTCTTTTAACTCAGCATGTCTTTCCCCCCTTTAGTGCTCATCCTCCTCTTTCACTTTGTCTAAGTTGATTAAATGGGGGACAGCGCTATTCAATTTCAATTGATTATTTTTTACCATATTCCCTCTTCCTCAGATCTCTCATATTTTTTTTCTCATTGTTTCCATTTAATGCATCTTCTCTTGGACCCACAGAGTTATGAATAGGGTTGTATTGTTTGGATATAGAGAGCATTGTTACATGGTTTCTCAGGTCAACAGAGCATTGCTTCCTGTTGAATTTGTCCCACTAAAGTAAGGCAGTAAAATGTTTATGTCTAAAACAGGAGTGGGCTTGAAAAAAAGCATGATGACAATTTCTCACTGTTACAAACGTTTCTGATGAATCTATATGTGATGTTTACTGTCCATGACTGTTTCGTGATGGAAACAGAAATAGTATCTGTTGTTGTTCCATCTTCGCTCCCTCTTATATCTTGTCAGCGACCTGAATGATGATCACCTACTCTCTCCATCCTCGTGCAGTGACTCATTTCCCTCAGCAGATTCACTTACAGTGTGCATCCAACACCAAGCTGAATTGAAGCTCCTGATGGCACACACTCTATTTCTGTTGAAAATCCTGTCTCTCCTCAGCTCTTTATATCGTCCTGTATACTTTTGCTCTCTTTCTTTTGCTTTTTCCCTCACATATTCTCTTTTTCTCAATCCCCCCTCTCCGTCTTTCTGCCTCACAGTGAAATAAACCGCCTGGATCTGGGCCTCACAGTTGAGGTGTGGAATAAAGGGCTGATCTGGGACACCATGGTGGGCACCTTATGGATCCCCCTGCGCAGCATACGGCAGTCCAATGAGGTAAACTGCCACTCCCTCTATTTGCCTTTGAAATGTGATTTCACTGGCCACACTGTAGATGTACAGCTATGAGAGATGAATAATTGTAAATAGTAAAATATTCAAATCAACATATGGGCTATGAAAACACATAACTTTTCACGTTGCTTTGATTAAGATCATTATATGAGACCTGAGAGTGCGTCAAGCTTTTTTCTAATTATTGGTGTGATCTCATGACTCTCTGCCAAATACTGTATTTTGAAATAGTTTTGTTTTATGTATGTATTAGTAAATTATTTTTCTTGGTGGACAGCAGCCAAACACAATGACTTGTCACTGTGTGGAAATCTGCACTTTTCCATGGCCTGATGATCAGACTGCATCACCATTTTGTTTTCTGTTCATTATTTTATGATTGACATTATACAGAGGTGTAGATCCAGACTAGGAATGACAAACTACAATCGTAGACTAAAAGGCCTGTTTATTTATTGCCCCGATCAAATTTCCTTCCACTTTCCTTCCATTTCCACTTTTCTCTCCAGGAGGGTCCAGGTCAGTGGCTGACGCTGGACTCCAACGTGATCATGGCTGAGAATGAGATCTGTGGAACCAAAGACCCGACCTTTCACAGGCTGCTGCTCGACACCCGCTTTGAACTGCCACTAGGTCGGACCGATACGCTGATGTTTGATTTACTTTACCTTCTGCTTTGTTCTGTGTGTTTTTTAATGTCACAATTTTATACAGAATTTCAATAATATAATGAGAAAGAACAATTACTGTCACTACTAGTACAACTACTACTATAGTACAACTACATCACTCTCTCTCCCGCCGTCATCATCATAAGTAGCACCACTATCACTAATATTACTTCTTAAGGTTTGTTTTTGAGACTGTACTCAAGCCTATGACATCACTGCAGGGTGTGGTTACAAAACACACTTATGTCATTTCTATTTTATATTTCTTTATATATCCTTGTGTTTATATTGCATGTGTATGAATTTATTACTTTTAATGATGTCTCTTCACTGTCCTCGTTGCTGCTGCAATGTGATAAATGTCCCCGCTGTGGGGCTGATAAAGGATCATTTTATTTTATCTTCTCTTAAACCTAAACACACCCAGTAAAACAAACAGGGCAGTAAAGCACTGTTTTCTAGCCTGGTGTTAAGTTACACTTTACAGTGTTCATTATGTTTAGAGTAATCTATACTATATAGAAAGAGAGATTTTCATATGTCCAGTGTTTGATTTGCAGTGCCGAGTGTGATGTTAAGTGTTTTTGTTGTGTGCTGCAGACATTCCAGAGGAGGAGGCCAGATACTGGGCCAAGAAACTTGAACAACTTAACGCCATGAGAGATCAAGATGTAAGAACTTTGCCACATTCCAATGAATCTCTTTGCGCCGTCATCTGCATTTCCTCATCTATTCATTCCTTCCGCTTTCTTTCATAACCTTTTCATTTTTTCTACTCTCAATAGCTGCCTATAACAGCACAATTGCCAGAGTCAATATTCGTACAAGTGATTTACCTCAGTGCTTTTTCTGACATGTCTCTTGTTGTTGTTGTTTTCCTCAGTATGCCTATCAGGAGGAGCAGGAGCGGCCGCTACACGCACCAACCACACAGTGCTGTGAGTGTCTGCAGCTTCCTCTGTACTCTCCCTGCTGTGTCCTTTTTATGCCTCCTGTTTTTACTCCCTCTGTTCTGTGGCCCTGACTTATTGAGAACAGGACTAGACAGGAGGTACAAATGAAGCTAATAGATGAGGCAGAGAATGAGTGGAGCGAGAGAGGAAAGCCTTGGAGGTGCTAGATGTGTAATAAATGTGAACTGACATATGCTGGGTTGTCAGACACACATCACACTGTCTGTCTGTCTGTCTGTCTGTCTGTCTGTCTGTCTGTCTGTCTGTCCGTCCATCTGTCTGTTTGGTGATGACACAGGGAGCAGATTGATATACGTGTATAAATCTGTGGAGGGTGAGGGTTGGTTGGTGGCGAGATGCTTGTGTGTATGTGTGCAGAGATGATACATCACGAGAATGTTTTTAATGCCTCTGGCTGTTGTAGGAGCGTGTTGTCTGTCTGTCTGTCTGTACATTCATCTATCTATCCGGTTGTCCCATTGTTGTAAGCATGATGTATGAGGAACTCTTTGAAGGAACTTCTTCAAATCGGACAAAAACATTCAGTTGGACTAATCCGTTTTTGGTGTGACACTGTGACCTTCTGGAACATGCTTTTGGTCTTATGAACACAACATCTCAGAAAAACCTTGAAGGAATTTCTACAAATTTGGTAAAAGCATTCACTGGGACTCAAACATGACCTGATATAAATTTTGGCAGTCAAAGATTACGATCACTCTGACCTCACGAAACCCTTATTTGCCTTGTGAACATGCTATTTTAAGAATGCCATGAGAGAATCGTTTCAATTTTGGCAGAATTGTTCACGTAGATTCAGGGATAACCTGATAAGATATAGTTGACAAAGGTTAAGGTCACAGCGGCCTCATAAAACATGTTGGGGGCCTCTTGAACATGAAAATTAAATCTAAAGTCTGCTTTGAGGAAATTTCTTCAAATTTTGACCAGCTGTCAGTTCGACTCAAGGATGAAGTGATTAGATGAAGTGGTCAAAGGTCATGGTGACTTCATATGAGTCTGGAAAAGCATGTATGTGGACTGAAACTGCACTGGTTAGCAGAGTCATACAACCTCAGGATGGTAATTCTAGTCTGTTCTTAGTGAGCAGCATCAAGGTCGGCTGCATTTCCACAAAAACTGATTGTGATGTAAACTTCTCTAAAGACCTTGTACTTTTCTTCATTCACACACTGGATTTACGTCACTTATGAACTCCCTGAACTCAAATTTACATTTTATGATAATTATTTCCCTCTGCTTCACGTCTCTATATCTTTGTTTACTTGGCTTTTCTGAACTGATGATGTGTTTAGTTTGTGACCCAAACCTAATTTAGTTTTTCTCAACCCTTTCATCCCCTCGCAGGTAATTGGAGTCTGTGGGGAGATCAGCAAAGTAAGTTTAAGTTTATTTCATGCTCCTCTGCTAATGACTTGGAGTAGCTCTGTATTTCTTGTCTGCGTCTCACTTAATGTAATGATCCTGTGTAGTGTGTTGAATTTACTTTCTGCTTTGATCCATATTCTCCCAGTGGATATATAAAGTCAGGCTGCAAGAGTTACAATAAATTAAGTCACAATAAAATACCATCTGTAGTGTTTGTTGAAGATATAGGTTGAGCACAATAACGACTGGGATGCTAGGATTACAAAAATTAGTTGATAGTGAATTTATTGATCTTACCCCTTGACTTTACTAACTAAATGATATGCCCAACTTTTAATTATCAAAACATATTATTGGACCAAATATGAAAAACTATTACCTATAGATATATTAACTGTTGAAAAATGCAATTGGGGACATTTGTGTTTGGAAGAATTATGGCTTTCATTATTTTCATTCTCTGTGAACTCGTTCAAATGTGATCAATGAGAGAACTGAGACAAATTCTTGCCTTGAGCCTTTATGAATTGAAGTACACCCATTGAGGAGACAATGCTATGTACAACTGTCAGAGTTTTATTTTTGTTTATTTATTAGTTTGTTTGCTTTGTAGTTTTTTATTTGATTATACACTTTATATGTGTGAGAAATGTAAGAAAAGAACAAATAATTCAATGAAAATGTAGCATGTGTTCCGCTATTGACACCCTGTCTGACACATTGTTCTAAAAATCCCGCCTTTGTCAAAAATGAAAAACATTTACAAAACTGTTTTGTCCTTCATTCTCATCCGCCGCCTCGTTTCGTCCGATCACTCACTGGTGTTTGTGTGAACAGACGAGGACCCAGACAGCGCCGTGGACGACAGGGACAGCGACTACCGCAGTGAGACCAGTAACAGCATCCCGCCTCCGTACTACACCACCTCTCAGCCCAACGCGTCCATGCACCAGTATCCCATGAGGCACCAGCACTCAAGACAATCCTACAATGACGATATCCACGAGTTGGACTATGACCACAGAGCCATGAGGTAACACGCATAGTTCAGCCACTGCACAGCCACATCTTAAGCAGAGTGGTTTCTTTCTTTTTTTTTTAAGTGTAATTGTTTATGTGCACCCATGAGATTACCACCAGGGGGGTTGTCAAAATGAATCAGCAAACTTAAGCGGGAGAAATGATTTATTTGGGCGAGACAGGAAGGATAAACACCAGAAGGACAAAACTGTTTAATGCTGAAAATATAATATCACACTCCCCCTCTTGAACAAAGTCTTCCTTTTTGAATGAATCCATTTGGAGTCTTGCATTTAGCCCCGAGAAGGCTGAGAGCCTGCAGCCTTGTTCAGTTTCTCTGTTTTGTTCATGGTAACATGTTGTCCCACTATGCTCTCCTCCTCTAGAGAATAACCCTGGCCTCAGTGTATACAAGCATGCTGGGGCACACACTTCTTGTATACAGGTCATGTATGAAAGTGGGCCTTTGTGGCTATCTCTTACTGCGTGTGTGCATGTCGAGTGTGTGAGCATCAGAAACGCCATGTGATCTCTTCTGCGCTTACTTGCTCTGCAGGAAATTTGTTTTAATTTCAGGACATGACAGTATATATGATGAATTCTGGACATGTTTTTAATGGCGGCAGATGAAATCAAATGAATGCACTGATCAGGAAAGCTGAAACAGAAAGTTTTGAATTTCAAATGGGTGAATTAAATCTTCAAGTGCTCATTCCGGTGAAAGGATAAGGTCACAATTTTTCAAGTCTGTCTTAAGACAGTCAGGTGTTCATATAAACCATAGACAGTACATGAAGATCAATGAAATGATTGGTATCCAAAGAGAAGCTAAAGTGTCTCAGTCACTACTGTGCACTCTCTGGCTCCAAATGTTCATGTTTCTTGGCTTCATTTCTGGATAGTGGGAGGAAGTGGGGAGGCATACTGAAAAGACATTCATTTTGGAATACACTCACTTGATCTGAATAGACCAGACTGCAGAAGCCTCATATTAGCTTCAGTCAATTTAAAACATAGGAAAAGATGGTGAATATCCCCAGTACCTTTGAGGGTCTACTGCACTAGTTTGATAAGTTGCTGACATGGTGGATGTCAGTGACCATCAGCGGCTGTTAGAGACGTGTCATCAGTTGTGTACTGTAGCGTAATCTGGTGTTTCGACCTTTTAACCACAAGGCACCCCCTGCTCACCATAGGCTGATCACACCCGGGTGGGTGACCCTAACATCATGAGGCCCAGTTGGGGTCTTGTACCTGACTGTTATTATGAGATTTGAAAAATTGTGAGGCTCTCACCGTTTTTATTTCCGTTTCATTGCTGAGGCTCAGTTTGGTTTTCTTTGAACAACTTGCACTGAGCTCTACTGATGCTCCTCTCCCACCTCTTCCCTCCCTCCAACCTCCCTCCCTGCTCCTCCGACCAGACGCTATGATAGTTTAGACTCTGCCACCAACGGGCGCAGCGATATCGACTCAGGCTCGGGGTCGAGCCAGCGCACCAGTCGTCAGTATTCACTAGACAGTAGGCACTCGCTGTCCGATAGGTGGGTCTCTGTACCTCCTCTCCGAATCCTCCTCCTCCTCTTCTTCCTCTTGCTCCGGCCTGTGACTCCGTCTCGCTGTGACGTCAGTGGTGGACTTGTCCTGTCCTCCTCGCTCGCTGTGCTTGCATGCATGCGCTCTTGCCCTATCTCTGTACATGTATATATTCGATATATTTTCTTGAACAGAAAACTACTGGTCCTGCATCTATCTTTACTGTGTGCCTGGCGAAGAATCACAAATCAGTCCCACCAGTATTGTATCATGCTTGTCTTTTTCCATATTTGAACCCTTATACGTTCTGTGCAGTTTTCTGTTTATCTGTGTGGGTGAGTGATTGAACAAATGTGTTAATGTCTGAATGGTTTTATAACTATAGAACAGAACGATTCAACATCGGGGGGAGTTTGTGGAAATGGCTTTGTGTGTGTCTGTGTGTGTGTGGTCCAGATATTATTGATTAGTTTACACAGTAACATTATGGGGACAAAAAGCAAGTCCCCATAACATAAATCATTACATTTTTAAGGTGAATACATGTTTTAAGGTTTAGGTTAAGGTTAGGCAAGTAGCAACTATGGTTAAGGTAAGAATAAGTTTCTGTAATGCAAGTAAATGTTAAGTCCTCTGATGTCATGGAGACATGGCTGCGTGGGTGTGCGTGTGTCATGCGTGTGTGGGCATCTGTCATTGTGGCAGCCTGTTTTTACACTATGTGAGACGTTAAGAAGGGCCCTGTCTTATTTTGGACGTCCCATACATGGTAATTGTACACATTTAATTTACACTTGTGAGAAAGTGGGAGGACATGGACCTAATGATGAGGTCCTTAAGAAGAGAGGCCAAGAAAGACTCTATATTCTTCATGTCTTCATGTTTTTTTATTCCCTTCTGAGAGAGAGGGCAGACATTTATTTAGAGTGTTATGCAAGTGTTTCACTGTCACTGTTGGTCCTAGTGTTGGATGAGAGAGAGATAGGTGATGAATAGTGGGGAACGGGGTTGTCGTAATTGAATGTCTATGTGTCCATTTGGCCGTACGCGTGTGTTCCCTGTGGCTCACAGCCCAAAGCCATTATCCAGTTCTCTCCTGCACTATGCATTATTGAACCAACATGGCTGTAATCAATAGAGACAAAACAATACTGTGTGAGTGTGTTTGTTAAAAAATGTGTTCATATGTCTCTCAAATCTCTCACTGACTCATGGTCTGTCTCAGTGTTTAATAGCCTCATTCATCATAGGGAATAAATATTATTCACTTATTTATATACAGAAAGACAGTTTTTGTTCTGTCAGGTTAATAAATTACCCTCGACCTCTCCAGGTTCCTGTTCTTTCATTTGAATAGGCCTATTTATATCATACATTTCTCAAAATCTCTCTTCTAATCATCTGCTTCTGTATGCCGTGTGTTTCTGTATTAATTTGTGAACTAGTATCCATTGTAACCTTTCCCATGACTACAGAGATGGTTCCCCTTACAGCTACATAGACACACCTCTAATCTGATCCCTTACTGTAAGTCTCCTGATTGGTTGGATAGCAGTTACTCCTCTTTTCCTATTGGTTAATGGTCTCCCTCCCCTGGCCCCCATCACAAGACCCTAAAGTGTCTCTGTGTCAGCAAAAATCTTTAATGTGCAACTATGGGAACTCCACTAGTTTAGTTTTAAACCTGTGTGGGTGTGTAACATTCTGCATCTCCCCCCTTCCTTTAGTCCCACGGACAGTCGTTACGCCTCATCAGGCGAGTTGAGTCGAGGCAGCTCGCAGCTCAGCGAGGAGTTTGTTCCCGAGGATGGCGAGAGCTTGCGAGGTTCGGAGTTCTACGATGAAAACGACTCCTACCACTCCTGCCACTCCTCGGTCAGCTATGGCAAAGAGGATTCCCCAGGCTGGGAGGGTGAAGACCCCCAGGGCATCTACAGCGACGATGGAGCCTACCTCAAAGATGGAGGGGAGGAGGGGGCACTGTATGATGAAGATGAGGGAGACACATACGGGGAGGAAGGAGAGTACAACTACGGAGATGAGGAGGAGATGCCGTATGAGGAGGATGAAGATATGTATCAGCTTGACGGCGCTCTCAGTGAATCCCAGGAACCGCCCTACACCCCCACACCCACAAGCACTGACCCCACCCTGATGCCACCCGCTGATGGTCAGTCCTCCACCAGGCCGCCGCTGGAGAAGCAGGCATCGTTGCATCAGCAGCAGCCGGCCCACGATAAGATCCAGCCTCCGAGCAAAGCTCCTGGTCTACCTCCGGCCTCACATGACGACATGTTACCACCTTTCACTTCAGACTCCACTAAAACTCCCTTTGCATTCCCACAGCCAGATATATCAACCACCGAATCCACATCCACTCCTGCAACCACATTACAGGTTCCAGCCCCAGACTCCAAACCCCTGGAGCCCGAGCACAAATCTGAATTACCACTGGAGGAGCCTAAACCTTGTGAGCAGCCTCCAGCAGCAGAAGGCGTCCCTCCAGCTCCTGTGGAGAAAACAGAGGAGCCTCCTGTTCCAAGGTGAACACAGCTCATACCCTGACAACTTCAGAGAGGAAAAAAAATACATAAATCAAAAATAATCCTTCACATGCTGTCAACATTACTCAACTCCTGTGAACACTCAGGGATGCCCCTTTATTCTAGATACTAATATTATTCTGTCATTATCTTCATCAGTTTCCCAAAGAGAGAAATCATGGAACCTGGTCCTGCCAGAGCCAAAGCCAACTGGCTTCGACTTTTCAGCAGAGTGCGACTACAGCTGCAAGAGGTACAACCCCCCGTGTGTGTGTGTGTGTGTGTGTGTGTGTGTGTGTGTGTGTGTGTGTGTGTGTGTGTTCCTCAGTGTATCTTTGAGCACATAGGTGTCAATACCAGGTAAATGCTTGTGCGATTTTATTTGTATTTCTTTCTCTGTTTTTGCACTACTTTAATTTACATGTCTATTATTTTTACTTACTGACTCTTTGCATCAGCCCCTGCATGTCCAACTGCTGTGTTTTTTCCTCCAGTTTTTTGTTATTGATGTGGATGACGCTGTATCGTCTTGTGTTTATTTGATCGTTCTGTTCACCCCTTGTATTGTTTTTTGTCATTTCATTATTTTCTTTTCAGTTGTTTGCCCTCCTTGTAGCGATTTGCATGTAGTCCATTCTGATTACCTATGGCTGGAACAGACTCTCAGGTGGGTGTGGACCAAAGTGTGTTGATCTATAATGTGTGCGCCCTGTCCAGCTCATAGTTATAACCGTGCTGTCATTTTTTCAAAGCCTGGTGTTTGTACCAATCATGACTATTTCTGTGCATTCAAAGCTGCATGTCATTCCCCAAGCAGGCAGGCAGACAAAAAACGTGTCTTTGGATAATAGAACAGACCGAAGTAGTGGAACGATTACATGGATAGTCATCTGGCTGTAATCTACTTTTACTATGAGCCTCAAACACTGCTGATCACAGTGATCACCTCAACTCAGCTATACCACTTTCCTCATTTCCCCACTTTTCCTATCTCCCACTTGTATCACTGTTATATTATTAATCTGTGAATACACTTGCACTTATTATGGCAATAGCTACGAGTGAAACCACTATGAAATATAGCTTTTTGCTAATTAACCCCATGCAATATTGCTAGATTTGTTTTCTCAGTTTAAAGGACAATATCTGTACAGTACTATAAAATGATATGCTTCTTCTTTTTCCAAATGGCACCCTGCTTGCTTTTCTTTCTCATCTCATCACCCTCTTTCTTCACAGGCCCGAGGAGAAAGTGTTGGCATCGCCTCCCTGCTGCTATCAGCAGGGTAAGCAACCATGACGCTGTTACTACTGCAAATGGGAATCTATAACTTACCTGCCAAGCCTGTGGCCATAATGTCTGAATGCATTTACTGTCAAATTGAACTGTCATGTCCACGTTGTAGTTTAACAACTGTTGCAACTCAAAATGTGGGATGCTGAACGTTGTTCTGTATGTGTTTTGTTTCCAGGATGGGCGGTGCTCTGTACAGCATCGACAGCATGCCAGACCTCAGGAAGAGGAAAGCTATGCCTCTGGTCAGAGATCTGGTGAGTTTCTGTGCTAATCTCTTTATAGTTCCCTGACTAAGTGTCTCACATCTCCGCAGTCCATCTATTACTCAGCTCAGCAGTCAGTGCTTTCGTCTACTCTAGCTCCTCCTGTGCTTTTCATCTGATTCTCTGCTTTCTTTATGTCATCTTATCTCTCCGTTGCTCTATTCTCCTGCACTTTCCTCCTCCATTTGTGTCAGTCTACGACACCTCATCCTCTGTGGCTACAGATGATACATTTCCGTGCAGTTACAGCGTGACAGGGCAAGCCGCAGGGCTGAGGGGCCATTGGAGAGGCCAGAGGTTTCCACTTGCAGACACTGATGTCTGTTCGATACTCTCATATAACAGACCTTTTCATAACCCCATGCCAGTGACTCATTCGTGGTTCGACTGTGAAAAACATGAATCCACTTGAGGAACCTGTAACTCGTCTGTACTAGTAATTGAGTACAAGAAAACCTTAAAAGGTAGAGCAGCTGTGGCTGAGGGGTAGAGCTTGAATCCCACCTTGTGCCTAAGTGTCCTTGGACAAGATGTTGAACCCCTCATTGATGTGGAATGCACTAACTGCAAGTTGCTTTGGATAAAAGCGTCAACTAAATGATATTTATGATGATAAAAACTTTGGCACTTTGGGAACTTCTCTTATTCTCTTTTTTATTGGAAGTTTGAAGAGAAGATCACAACCATTATCATATCTGTAGTCATATCCAGAGCCACACAAGAGCCATAAAACCACAACTTCAGTGCTCAGTTTTATATATTGGCTTTTGTAGAGATTAAACAAATAGAATACATGTACTGAGTAGAATAGCCCTCAGTGGTCTGCACACCTCCGCCAAAGCTCAACAGTCCCATTAAAGTCAGTCAAGCTACATCAAATTACCCACACTGATAGACATGAGTGCTACAAATGTGCTTTGACAAATTGACAAGAATGTCTGGCTAGTGGTTAAAAAAATCCAGGATAAGACCCCAATTCACAGAACCTAACCCCTGACCTAACTAAATCAGACATGTTCCAAAGGTTCTACCTTGGCCCATATCCCACCTTTCAGTCAAATCAGTCTATTAGTGTTTGTGTAATCCTGCTAACAGACAGAAAAACAGACATGAAGAATAATTTAGAGGGACTGGTACGTACATTCTCCCATTTCCTGGCTCTTGTTATATTTGCAGCACTGGCTTTTATCTTCTCATCTCAATCTTGGCAAGAAAAAAAAAGAAAAATGTCAGGCAAACCAACAACACTTTGTGTGGTTGAGGCTAACATGGAAACATGATGGCAGTTTAGATCGTTTTTATTAACTTCTGGGAAAAAGCTCAATGTGCCATTTTCTCATTCACACCAGAGCCTATGATTACAGCAAACAAGTCATTATCTCATTATTAAATCATGTAACAGCCACTACGCTGTGACAGAATCTTTCGAGCATTTGCACCTACGTTTCGCTTCCTTCCTTTTATACATACACACACCCATGTGTTGATTCAAGTAACTGATCAGACAGGGTGGGGTCCTGGTTGTATGAGCAGTGATCACATTTTGTTTACATGACATATATCAAACGCACAATAAATGTGTCTGTTTCTCATCATCACTTTTGCATTTTTAATCTGTGGAAATGTCTCCTGTACTCTTTTCTTTTTTCTAATATCAAATCTCTCCCTTCTTCCTCCCACCATCACGTTCTGCCTCAGGCCATGGTGAGTAATACACTTACCATTTGTTTTAGGAACACTTACATTGACAGTATACTAGTTTTCATGTCTCATGGTTGCTATTAAAAAAGGAGGCACTTTAAATTCTTCCGCTGTCACCTCTACTTTGTTGTAACTAACGGACATCTTCTTTCTACCGTCACTCAGTCTTTGGTTCAGAACTCCAGGAAAGCAGGCATCACCTCAGCCCTGACGTCCAGCACCCTCCATAATGAAGAACTGGTCAGTGCCCACTTTACGCTATTAGATGGAAACATATCACATCATGCTGAAAGGCTTTTAACTCCTCTTCTCTTCTTCCTCTGTAACCTTGTAGAAGTGTCATGTCTATAAGAAGACTCTTCAGGCCCTCATATATCCCATCTCCTGCACCACCCCACATAATTTTGAGGTGTGGACCGCCACCACTCCGACTTACTGCTACGAGTGCGAGGGGCTGCTGTGGGGTATCGCTCGCCAGGGCATGCGCTGTACTGAGTGTGGAGTCAAATGTCACGAAAAGTGTCAAGATCTACTCAACGCTGACTGTCTGCAAAGTAAGAGACATGATGGAAAACATTATTATTATAATTTTAGCTCCTAAAACATTGGAAAGAGAGACTGAAATATGATGATGTCATTTAAATTTAGCAATCAGTGGCGAATGTTTATGTGCATCTACATAACTCATTTATGATGCTGTAGTATAGTAAAAGATGTGTACATATCTGTATGTATGAAGTCTTATACATTGAATTTCAAAAAGGAAACATTATTTGAACTTTAATAGAATTATTGTTTTGTTTATTTACATCAATTTGTGTGATGTGTAAAGGAGCCAAGAATTAAAAGATTATATTTTGGAATTGGTAAGAATATCTAGTTATGTTCTGTGATATTAAGCTAAAAAGTCGTTTTAATCATGGCGTGTTGCACGGATGCTAAAATACAACATAACACTTTTACAGGAGCTGAACAACCATTTACAGACTTAATTCTGCGTCAGTGCTGCTTTTTATTAATAAGACCAAAGTATCCATGAGCGTCTTTTTCCCCCTATCTGTCTTTGTCAGTGTCAACCTCCTCTTCCTTCTCCCCTCACGCCCACTTTTTTATTTTCATTGTTTTCTTGAGAGGATATTAAAAGTCATTTATCTTTTGTTGACATCCACCTCTCGTTTCCATTTCTCTTTCGCACAGCAGTCTATGCGCTCTGCAAATGTGTGTTGCCCTCATTCATGAAATATAATATCATCTGCAGTTCTTCTCTGCTGTTTAAATTTCCTTGGCAATTTTTTAAATATGTTGTAAAATGCTGTCCTCCAGGCAATACTCTTCTCTACTTTCTGTCATAGTATGGAAAATAATAATAAATAGAAAGTCATTTCTATATGCCTTTACATTTAGATCCTTTTCTTAATTGTTCCACTGATCAGGGGCGGCTGAGAAGAGCTCCAAACATGGTGCAGAGGACCGAACCCAGAACATCATCATGGTCCTCAAGGACCGCATGAAGATCCGTGAGAGGAACAAACCAGAGATCTTTGAACTCATTCAGGAAGTGTTCACCGTCCTCAAGTCCACCCACGTCACCCAAATGAAGCAGATCAAACAGAGCGTTCTCGATGGCACCTCCAAATGGTCGGCCAAGATCAGCATCACAGGTGAGGGGGGGTTATTTTCAGTACAGTACTGTGGGTTTGAAGGGAGCTGGCAGACGTTGTCAGCATTAAAGTCAGAGGAGACAGAGCATGTCGAGCGTTTGTGTCTATGAAATGAGACGAGCTGCCATCTGCATGAAGAGAGCACAGGAGGCGTTTATGGGGCAATAGAGCAGAAGGTCAGATGAGTTAAGAGTCATCTGTTTCCATCAGAACACACACTTACACGCTTTCTTGTACTTCTACATTTGTGAGGACACTCATTGGCATAATGCATTCTCTTGCCCCTAACCTTAACCATCACAAATGGAGCGATGCTTGGGAGAGCTAGTTCAGGCAGCCAGCATTAGCTGCGCTGCTGCGTTCATGTGACATACCCCACTCTCCGGCAGAGAATTCCCATCACCCCCTTTGCTTGCCCCACACTGCTGCTGCACCAGTATTGGTGCTGATCGATTGAGCCCCTCCACCACCCCAGCATCCACTCGTAGGGTCTGAATGCTCCCATTGTATCATATGCATCATGTGTAATCATATCTGGGCTGAGTGAGGAAGTCCAAGCCTATAGACGCTAAACACTAACATGTCCTGCCACTGCAGTAAACATTTCAAATGTGAGTGGTCTGATGAAACTAAATATAATTTATGCTCTAATAAGGTTTTTTGCTTTATTCCATCTTATTTACAACAAATTTCATTTTTAGTTAACTTGATCGAAACACATTTAAAATACTGTTATTTCACCTCTGTTAATAAAACACAAAAGTACAGTGCATATAAACCAAAACCTCTGACGTCTGAACACTCAGCACTTTGAAGCTTGGTCTGAAAGTGCAGACCAGCTAAAATGTCCTCACTCTGCTGATCTAATCTACTATGACACTGGTCCTCACAAAGATAGAAATACCAGGACACACAGTGTGGTTTACTGGTTGACTGTGTAACAGTGTGGCTGACCAGTTTGTTTGTTCTTTCTTCGTAGTGTTGTGTGCTCAGGGTCTACAAGCAAAGGATAAAACTGGTTCCAGTGATCCTTATGTCACTGTCCAGGTGGGAAAGACCAAAAAGAGGACCAAGACCATCTACGGAAACCTCAACCCTGTCTGGGAGGAGACATTTAATTTGTGAGTTGAGACTTCCTGGAAAAATGTGTCACATTTGTAGTAGCTATAGGCTTTATTTGTAATTAATCTTCATGCAGGCAATATAATATTTCTTCCACTAATTTTCTCGTTAAGCCAGTAACTGTCCGATTTTAGTGGAAAATGCTCATCACAATTTCTCAGTGCTCAGGGTGATGTCTCCAAATTGCTTAATTTGGCCAAAAAAGGCAGACATTCCACTTACAAATACATAAAAGAAAGAGGCTGTATAAAGCAAAGGTTTGGCTTTTTACTTGTGCAACATAACCCTAATCATTATTCAGTTATCAGTGTTGTTGATTATTATTTTGTTGACTTATTTTCTTCAAGTTCTTGAGTTAATTCTAGTTAGTGTCAGAATTAAACGCCTTTATCTCCTTTATGTTGATAAAAGAAAATTGATTCGGATCAGTTTAAGGCCAGTTTTTTTGTTTACATTTTCATATTCAAGTGAAAAGTGTTGCTGATTCTCTGGTTCTGTCTGTGCAGCGAGTGTCACAACTCCTCAGATCGTATCAAGGTACGCGTGTGGGATGAGGACGACGACATCAAGTCACGTGTGAAGCAGAAGTTCAAGCGAGAGTCTGATGACTTCCTCGGTCAAACCATCATCGAGGTCCGAACTCTGAGCGGAGAGATGGATGTCTGGTACAATCTCGGTCAGTTATATTTATAATCCGCATCATTTATACTTCCTGCAATAATCTCTTGACTTTACAGTTAGAAAAGTCATTCAACATCTCTGATTGATTGTTTTTCAGCGAGTGAGTTTGGTAACCGTGTTGCTGTGTGTGTTGTGCTCTTCACAGACAAGCGTACAGACAAATCAGCTGTATCTGGAGCCATCCGCATGCACATTAATGTAGAAATCAAAGGAGAGGAGACGGTCGCCCCGTATCACGTTCAGTACACCTGTTTGCATGAAGTAAGTTCAGTGTGTGTTTGTACGTTTGAACAAACTGGAATCTATTCAAGAGTTGTGATTTTGTGAGACCGTCTATTTTATGCCACTGCTAAGTCTTTGGAAACAAATATATTCCTCCACCACTAGACAATATTTTGCAGAATAAAGACAAATAATTTGTTAAAGTTTAAACTAACAAACAAGTAGTATTTTCAATGTCAAAAACTTTAGAACACTAAAATAGGTTGATGTTTTAAAGATGTTTCCCTCTGCTGAGACTTATTGCCGTGCTTTTACTCAGAAAGCTCAATTTGCAATGAACAGGCAGCAGTCACTTCACTGTTGCTGTAACAACAGTCTTTCTTTATTTCTGTATTATATGTGAAGCTTTGCACCGGACACAGAGATGACTGGGTTTTAAAATGGAAAAGATATAACGTATGAATGCAGGAATATTTTTCAATGGTGTGCGTGTCTCTGAGCCAAGTCCTCTCATGAGCTCTGCCAAACAGTTTGACAGATGTTCCCTTCCATAATGGATCCTTTATAAATGAAATATAAGTTAATACATAACGAACTTTGCTTTGCTCTAGTAAGGTAAAGACCTTTTCTAAAAACAAAGACATCAGACATATTTCTAATCTGCTCAACACTGTACAGAGAGCTACACTGATTGACTGTGAACCAATCACAGTCTTGGATGGAATCATTACTGGGCCCATTACTCAACAGAGCACATTAGCTGAACCTTAACCGACAAATGACCACTGTTATTGCTGCACATAAGTGGCCATAAACCACAAAGCCAACTCTTTATGTTTTACTGCTGCACAATGCTTCACGGCTGAGCAGCCAAGACAGCACCTCGTGTTGGCCTCATAATGCAGTTTAACGTAGCGCAGCCGTTTGAAGATTAATAGGTCGAGAGGTTGAAACCTGCTTCGGTTTTGTACAATGACATATGCAAGCTTTGATTCAAACAGAGGCTCAGCTCTTCTCCCTCTAATCTTCCACACACCTCCTTCAATTCTTCCCCTTACTATGCTACCTCCTCCCTGCAGAACCTCTTCCACTATATGACAGACCTGCAGAACAACGGTGTGGTAAAGATCCCTGATGCCAAAGGGGATGATGCATGGAAAGTTTACTTCGAGGAGACCCCCCAGGAGATTGTAGATGAGTTCGCCATGCGTTACGGAGTGGAGTCCATCTACCAGGCGATGACGTACGTTACTGTTTAGTGGTGGATTCCATGCAGCGTCGATTGTTCTCGTGCATCAGGCTCTCAGTAAGCTGTTGGTAACCAGTGTTTGTTTACATGTCTTTCCCTCATTTGCAGCCACTTTGCCTGTCTGTCATCCAAGTACATGTGCCCAGGTGTGCCTGCAGTAATGAGCACCCTGCTGGCTAACATCAATGCCTACTATGCCCACACCACCCAGGCAACTAACAACGTCTCTGCCTCCGACCGCTTTGCTGCTTCTAACTTCGGGGTGAGTCACTGCAAAGCAGAATCTATAAATTCACCTGGTGTCAGAATGTTCTAAAACGTACTGCTGAATTTATCCGAAAGCCACATCGCAATAAATTCTGTGTGCACTGAAAATGTACCTCCACCACAAAGGTAATGTTGTCCTTGGAATCTATTTGTTATTGAGCAACATTACGCAAGAACTAATGAACGGATTACAATGAAACTTGGTGGGAGGATGTGATATAGGTCAGGGTTGAACCTGTCAAATTTTGGGGCAGATCCAGGAGTTTTTTCCCCTTCCTTTAACACTGAGATCAATTTTTTCGTAGATTTTTCAGTGGATAATTCATGGATCTTAATTTTAAAAAACAGGCATGGAGTGGATGTCAATGTTAAATTCTGTTTTCATATGTGTTGTAATACCCACAGAAAGAGCGGTTTGTCAAACTTCTAGATCAGCTGCACAACTCTCTGAGGATCGACCTGTCCATGTACAGAGTAAGAAACTCCATCTCACTGTTTTCCCTCATGTCTTTTCTTCTTTAATGTCTGTGATGCTTCCCTTATATCTATATGAGAAGACACTCACACAGAGCAGGCGGATGTGTTAATTCAAGTGACAGCTCCTCTCAAACATGCATAGACACATTCAGGATACACTGTGAGGAGTCTGTGGCAGTGGAAATTGTGTGGCTGTGCTGGATCTTGTCCATGAACACAAAAAAACAGCGGACAAACATGGATGTGATATTGTCTGTTGTAGCTCACTGTTTTGTTTTTTTTGACTCTGCAGAATAACTTCCCAGCCAGCAGTCCTGAGAGGCTGCAGGACCTCAAGTCCACAGTGGACCTTCTCACCAGTATCACCTTCTTCAGAATGAAGGTACAGCTTCCACCTTCCTTCAGAGACTTTTTCTTTCCCACTGTGTTTCATAAATACAGCCTATCCATTAAACTGCAATGTTGCTCAATGTGTTCTTCTTCCTCCAAATTGTTTCATGAATTTGAACCCTTAATCTAAAATAAAATTTCAACAATGATATTTCCTTTCTTCACAAATGTACAAAAATGTCAAACTTTCTGACCAATTTCCAGAAGTTGAGACAGAATTAAACATTAAAGAAGAATAAGAAGAAAAGCACAACAGATTGCAGGGCTACTTAGTCTTCACCTCTGTCGATATAATATTTGGATGACTAGGACATTCATTTTGCTGATTGTAATACCATGGTGATCCTACAGTGCCAAAAAAATTGTAATAACGATGTGAACCAGTTCATCCATTTTCTCCTTTTTTTTCTCTGAGCCTTACTCAAAAAAGTTAATGAATACAAAGCCGAATTGACAACACACCAATATTAGACACACAGCCGTCTACAAACAATTCAGTGTTAAGTAGATGCAGCTCAAATAGGTGATGACAGGACGCACATATGTCAAACAGAAGTCTTTGTATGGTCACTCTAGTTTTCACTTTATCTCTCTCTCTGTCTGTGTGTGTTCAGGTCCAAGAACTTCAGTCTCCGCCCAGGGCCAGTCAGGTAGTGAAGGACTGTGTCAAAGCATGTCTCAACTCCACCTACGAGTACATCTTCAATAACTGTCATGAGCTCTACAGCCGCGAGTATCAGACCGACCCGGTAAGAATGTCTCTCTCTCGCTCTCTCCCAAAAATTAAAAAAATAGGTTCTTGGTTTGAGAGTTTGTATCTTCTCCCCGTGTCTGCATGGGTTTTCTTATATGTTGACCCTGCAACACAGTGGCGACGTGTCCAGGTTGTACCCCGCCCCTCGCCATTTCTCAGATGGGATTGGCTCTAGCTCCCCATGAACCTAAGAAAACAACTAATGAAAGGATGGATATTTGTTACCATCACCATAATTAAGTGTAGCTTGCCAAAGGTCATGCAAGTTTACCAGTGTGTGGTGTGTGAAAATGAAAATGAGAGACACTGTTATAATGAAAAAAATATTTGAAACAAACCATTTAAAAAAGTGATGAACTGATGAAAATACTTTTTTCAGGGTGCTCAGTATATTTTAATGTGTTGTCCTATGTTTGGTATTATTAGTGTTTTTCCCACATAAATATTGAGCTCTATTTTGGTTGGTCCTTTTTTACAGTTAATAATATACAGTAAGAAGTGTAGCTCATGTCTCTGCCCCTGATTGTTTTGGTCATGGTCGTGGTCAACCTGTTTACATTGTCAGTTTCTGGTAGCTCGTGGTGCCACACTGCTCAACAAAGTTGGAATCAGCTTTTTATTTTTTGTTGCAAATATCCTTTGATTGATTCCCCTTTCTTTTTCATTAACTGTAATTGTATTCATTCTAAGAAGTATACATCAGGATAATCACTGCCCATCACCAAACTCACTTGACTTAATAATCATTTCAAACTCTTCATAAATTATAATAAGCTGAGGAGCCCTGACTGCTCCTTGACTAATCAAATTGCTTGATAAAATATTTCTTGCACAAAATACTTTTTTTAATGTTTTAAGTCCATCGTTAGTGCTTGATTTCTGCAATACCCTCACGGGTGTGTGTGCATGCATGTACTTTGTTGTGTGGAGAAGTTCCATCATCCTCTCTGTCTGAGTAGGCCAGGCTCCTCCATCCATCACCCTGCACCAGATTTCAAGTGGGATTTCTAGAAGTTGCTCCGAGTCCTCATTAAAGCACCAGCCCCATTCAGACTCCCTTGTGAATTTAAAATAAGCATTTTTTCCCTTTGAATAAAACATTTCATCCTGCGGGATGTTGCTATATTTTGTCGAAATCTCTGCAAGATCATTCTTCACTCTTCATTTCCTGCAGTGCTCAGCTTAGTTTTTCCTTTTTTAAACCTCCTGCGCATCTTCAGCTCTTTCAAAGAAATCGCTCGGAAGGGTTTTATGCAGCTTGAGCAACATAAGCTGGGTCCCCCAAAAGTGGACATGCAGGATTTTGTGTACTCACCACAAGTAAATAAAATGAAATAAACATGAGTGCATGTTAGACTCAGTGATACATAATGCTGCTCTATATTTGGCACACCAGCATGCTACTAGAGGTTTGTGTGCAGTGTGGCTTAAAACGTTTATTCTTTTGATGAGAAAATTGGTCCAAAAATAGTTTGAATAAAAATGCATTGCTTGAGAAGAATACAATTATCTGCAGAGTATGCACGTTTATAGTTGTTGCCATTTTCTTGTCATATTTTAGGTAAAGTGAGCAGCAGGCAAAAGTCCTATTAAAATGTTTGTGTTTGCGATTCCAGGCCAAGCAGGGTGCTGTCCCTCCAGAGGAGCAGGGACCGAGCATCAAGAACCTGGATTTCTGGTCAAAACTCATCACACTTATTGTCTCCATTATAGAGGAGGACAAGAACTCTTACACCCCCTGCCTAAACCAGTATGTCTCTACTTAATCATATTTCCTTCTTAATGGCATTTTTAATTTTACCCTTTACTCTGTCTCTTCTCCTATTACCTGCACAACCACTGTTGGCTACAGGCTTGTATCTTTCTGCTGAGTTTAATACACCTTCTCTTTTAAAGTGCATATACATTAAGTCCATCTCCTGTTCCTCCTCCATTAAGATTTCCCCAGGAGCTCAACGTGGGTAAAATCAGTGCAGAAGTGATGTGGAACCTGTTTGCTCAGGATATGAAATATGCAATGGAGGGTAAGTGTAGGTCTCAAACTGTAAGTCTCAAATGACACAAAGCACTGATGAATTGTTACCGCTAACAGTGTGTGTTTCAAGCACTATTTGCGCTCATGACCAAACAGACAGAGAAGACAATATAATGCATTTGAGTTGGATGGATACTGTTACTTGACTGTTTCCAGTGGTTTGGTTTTAAATATGTCAGATCATGACTGATTTGTTCTGTGTGTTCACAATGAGTCCAGAAGATTAAATCGTAATTAAACAATCACAATTAGTTATATCCTAATATGCGATAAGCATGAACCACTGCAATTTTGAACACATCAGACTTTTTTTTACTTGATCCATAAACGTATTGAACATATTTCATGATATTTTGTCAGTAAGATACAGTTTATCGGTCTCAGTGGTTCTCACAATTTTATTGTCTGCAAATTCTCAATTAAAACAAAATGCTGACAAGAACCTTAATTCATTGTGCGTTCTTATGATGAGCAGGATATTGAATTATATATATTGAAAAGCTATTTTTCATCAGTTAAACGTGTAAAGTAATGATAAAGCATTTAATGATAAAGCATTTATTTGCAGCCACATTTCCTGCCTTCATTCATTTCATTTTGAATAAAAACTTTATTTAAAATAATGCAAGGCCTGAAGGGTTGTGCTAAATCACATTTGATTGATATTTGATTTGTTCAATTATTCATTGGTTTGAATCTTGGCTGACGCCTCTTTAAGCATCCTGTGGTAAATGGGAGTAGTCAGCTTGAACACCCGGGACCAATGATCTTTTGACTCAACATGGATTTGTCTGCTTTAATCTTTCTCTCAGAGCATGAAAAAAATCGCCTGTGCAAGAGCGCAGATTACATGAACCTGCACTTCAAGGTCAAGTGGCTGTACAACGAGTACTGCAAAGACCTGCCCTTCTTCAAGAGCAGAGTGCCCGAATATCCTGCGTGAGTAGCAGCTCCTCATGCACACACACAAGCTACTGAGGACATTCTGAAAGCAGAATATAAGAACAGAGGACTAAGGCCTCGATCTTTCACCCCTGATGTAAAGCAGTGTCTTTCCTCTTCATTATTCATGGGTGTGTTACGGACGTAACATACAATGAACCAATCAGAGTGCTGTTTCCCATTCCCTTAAAAAACAGGTATGCTTTCCATCTTGGAAGTTTGCAATTGTGATGATAATTTGCCAGGTAGTAGGGGATGGATGGATGGATGGATGGATGGATGGATGGATGAATGGATCAATGGGTGGATCAATGAATGGATGGATGGATTAGACTTGCTCTCTCTGCTTTAGACCATGTGCTCAGCTCTGCATTTAATATTTTTTTCCCTGTGTCATTTCGCTTCCTGCTTTGTTTTATGCACTCCATAGGTGGTTTGAGCCATTTGTCATCCAGTGGCTGGATGAAAATGAGGAAGTGTCTCGAGACTTTCTGCACGGTGCTCTGGAACGAGACAAAAAAGATGGGGTAAAAGTTTTGCAGCTCTTCCTCTCCTTCACTCTTGAAATGCAGAGTCGCTGTTGTTGCTCAGGCAGAATTACTGTAATCCATCCTTTGTACTTCCTCTGTCATGCTCAAACTTATCAGCCAAAGGTGCCTCCTCCCGCTCACTCTGCATGCTTCAAAGGCTGCCGCAGCGAGAAAGGCACGCACACCACAGCGCAGGTGTGGTCTCGAAATAGAAAGCCTGTGTGTTTGGGATGAGTGGATGTTTAAGCAGAAGCACTTCATCGTGTAAAGAGATTCTTTGGAAGTTTAAAGACTTGCGGTGGAGACGAGCTTGTGACAGCAGGGTATTGTGAATTAATGGCCTCATTCCAGAGTTTTGACTGCAGGAAAGCTGTCCTCACCTCATTACCCAGACTCCCTGGAGGAGCACCTTCACACTCACCTCCAGCCAATTAGGGACCAGGCACAAACCAGCAGCCAATTACAAGGAGAGAGTCACCTGTCACCGGATGGCAGGACTGCAGGGGGCTTGAGGATCTGTACACACTGACTGTGAAAGATATTCAGTTTAATGGTCCATTTATATGATCGTAGGTGCCCAGGATCTAATGTGCCTCGCCTTTTTCTTTTCCTGGTTTTTAATCTTCCTGCACATCTTCTCTGCCCTACAGTTCCAGGTCACATCAGAACACGCTCTGTTCTCCTGCTCAGTGGTGGATGTGTTTTCTCAGCTCAACCAGAGCTTTGAGATCATCAGGAAGCTGGAGTGTCCAGATCCACAGATTGTAGGACACTACATGAAGAGATTTGCCAAGGTGATTCAGAACATCCCTTATTCAATCAATATACTAGACAGACATTAAAAATATCAATTTAGATAAAGATAACGCCATCTATTCCCTGATGACTAATTGTTCTTTCTTATGTTCCCTCTCTAGACAATCAGCAATGTTCTTCTGTCCTATGCTGATATAATCTCTAAGTGTTTTGCCAACTATGTCACCATGGAGAAAGTGGTGAGTGGCCAAACACTTGATGAGCCCGTCTGGAGTCAGCTCAGCCAACTCTAAACAAACATTAGATTTCAGTTTAACTCTTTCTTTTACTTGCTTGAAAATCAAGTAATTATTTATAGATCATTGAAATCTTTTTCAACAGAGGTGTTAAAGACAAACTTGTGTCATCTTGTCCTCAGCCCTGCATCCTAATCAACAACATCCAACAGCTGAGAGTTCAACTGGAGAAAATGTTTGAGGCGATGGGTGGAAAAGACGTGAGTTTTTCTAAAATGTGTGTGTGTGTGTGTGTGTGTGTGTGTGTGTGTGTGTGTGTGTGTATTTTACAGCATAAACAGTGACCTTGTCAGGGCCAGTAAACCTCATGGGTACCAAAGCCGGGGCCTACTGAAGTAATTTCTCATGTCTGACTCCCTGAAAAGTCAGATTCTAGCAGTTCTCAGGCAGCGTTCATGTGTTTTGGCGGCTTAGCTTTGACGAGAGAGCAGATTTGAAGGGGTGGGGTGTATCGGTTGCTTTCTTTCAAAGTGTAGCCTGATCTTGCTAGCTTTTCCAGGATTACTCTTTAATCTTTAATCCAAATCCTTCCGCTAGTGACATATTACCTCCCAAACACTACAACGACCTCTCTCTGTGCGTGTGTGTGTGTGTGTGTATTTCCCTGTGTGTGTGTCAGCTGTGTGTGGAGGCCAGCGATATCCTGAAGGACCTGCAGGTTAAGCTCAACAATGTAATGGATGATCTCAGCAGGGTCTTTTCTGTCAGGTAAAAGACTCACTCACACACACTCACATCCATGGACCGCAATCACCTTACCTCTGAGATCAATGTGATTTATCTCCAGGCCAACTTGATTACAATATTCTGCTACTTCCTCTCTGCAGTTTCCAGCCTCATATTGAGGAGAACGTGAAGCAGATGGGAGACATCTTGGCCCAGGTGAAGGGAACTTCAAACGTAGGGAATGCCAGCAGTGTGGCGCAGGATGCTGACAACGTCCTGCAGCCCATCATGGAGTTCCTGGACAGCAAGTGAGGCAGTCTGCCATTTTAGTGCTAGTTTAGGATTGTTCAGATTATTCATCCAAGGTTAGGCAAAATTGAGGATGCCTTGTTTTTGGCAGCAATGATCACGTTGTCATAGCTCAAGAAGAGTTAGACCAGCAATCCATGAACAAAGGTTTAATATTTGCATGTAATTTCCTCTCTTTTGAGAAGGATTCTTACTTAAATCCACAGTCATCTATAGATCATGTCAACTTAATATTATTACTCAACACTCAAACTGTTCATAGAGAAATAGGACTTACAATTCTATGAATTATTTGCCTCTGGATGAGAGGTAAAAGTAGTTAAATTCCCTGAAGTCTTTTTGGTCATGAGGGGATTTCTGGCAAACACCCATTTCTGTTCTCTCTCTCTCTCTCTCTCTCCCTCTCTCTCTCCCCCGCGCACCAGCCTGACTTTGTTTGCTAAGATCTGTGAGAAGACTGTGCTGAAGCGTGTGTTGAAGGAGCTGTGGAAGCTGGTGATGAACACCATGGAGAAGACCATCGTCCTGCCGCCTCTCACAGACCAAACGGTGAGAGCACACAGGCCTACAAACTGACACATACAGCCATACAGTTACATACAATATAAATTCCAAGCTACATGCTTTATATTGGCATGTATACCTGGCACTGCCAACATGTATAGCATACATGCACATGTTGTCTACACCACAAAGACTATGTTTATTTGTGTGCTTGGGGGAAAAACTACATGGGATAGCAAGATTTAAGTATTTTTTTGTAATCTTCTAATGATGACAAAAGCAGAAAACATGTAACACACATGCACCCACACATTTACAAACACACGTATCCCACAAGGCAGCATCAAAAAAAAAAAAAAGAGAGGAGGAGGTGGAGAATGAAGAAAGGGAATCATACAGAGGCAGACATTATGTGTCACGACTCAACGCAGCCCTCCTCTAAAAACAAAAAGCCAGAGGAAGATCAAAATGCTTCTGCCTCACATCTACATGGAATCCTAATCCTCAACCCCCTTGCACACATTATCTTCAGCATCGCCCCCGTTACCTTCATTGATCCCTGCAATCAAGAAGAAAGCCTTTACAGAAAAAAGAAAAAGAAAAAAGGAGTGCACCATATCATTATAACACCAGCTCATGGCTGCTCTCCAGTATGTCAGCAAACGATTGTTTGGAGAGATTCCTGATTTTTAAGTAACTCCTATCAGAGTGGCAGAAAACATTTGCCCGAATAATCTGGCCCTCTTCAAAAAACAGAATCATGCATTTTGGAAAGCAGCCACTCGTTTTCTTTGTTTTAGATATATGTGTTCTTATTTGTGTTTGGTTATTAACGAAAGAGCCTCATATCACGTGATTATCAATCCTGATTAACATGAGCAGTACAAGCCACTTAAGTATTTGTATTTTAATGACTGGCTCCGCCTCAGTAGCCATATGCCTGCAGGTAGCCTTCATCCAATTCAACTGAGACAGGAAAGAAAACAGATAAAGATAGTGAGTGTAGATACAAGCCAAATTATTATCTAGAGAATCTGTTGTTAAAAGCTAAAACACTTATTTTCTATATTCTCAGTAAAAAGTGAGTTATTTGCAGGACGCTCTTAGTTGCCTAGCTGTCCTTAGTCCAGGCTTTAGACAGATGTCGATTGGTTCCTGGTGCATCCAGCCCTGAGGCCCAAACATGTGTTATTGATTGATGTGGGGCTCTTTGCAGCTTGACTGACCCTTCTCTCTGGTTGTTGTCGTTGTGATTACTATTACATCCTGCTCCCACCGCTCTTCCTCCACAGATGATTGTAAGTACAGCACTCCTGCGTGTGTGTCTGTCTGTCCGTCCACGGTGGTTGGTCCTCTGCTATATGTGGCTGCGATCTTCCCCTGTTTTTTGCCCCACATCACACCCTGTCCCTTCTCAGGGCCTCACCTCTCTGACCTGTCTTCTTCTTATTATTATTATTTCTCCTCCTCTTTTCCTTTCTCTTCCTCTTCTGCCTCTTACTATTCTTCTTCTCCTCCTCCCCCTTCTTCTTCCTCTTCCTCCTTCTCTTCTCTCCTCTTTTCTCCGACTCTGTCTCTCTTTGGAGAAGACAGGAGCATGGTGCATTCCTGACTGGTTCTAATAGGCCCCACCCCCTTGACAGTCTCCACCAATCAATGCCCCCTCCCTCCTCTTCTGCTGTCTCTTCTTCCTGAACACTCTCCTCAAACAGGAAGTGGTACTCCTTTCTTGCGCCTGGTGTTGCCTTGTTTCTTCTCATGCATTGTGTCTATTTGACTGGGAATCAGGTGGGGTGACTGATCTCTTGGTAGTTCGGTATCCGGTGTCGTACCCCCACCTCCAGACCCTACCCCACTTTTCCCTCCTCTCAACCTCTCCCCACCCCCACTTTCCCCTCCCTTCCCTCCTGTTTGAACTGTGTCCCAACTCCCCCACCCTCCGACTGTGGGTTTGCTGCTTGCATCTGATCTATTTCAACACTGCAGTCCTCTCTCAGTATACTGTACAACACTGTATTGTACTGTATGTCTCTGCAGACATGTCCTGGTTTGGTTTCACGTTCTGTTGTCACTATGATTAATGCAATCCTGCTAAACTGTATGTTGACAGTCCTGATACAAGGACTACTGTTTATTACAGGTGGCCATTGGTTTGCTTTGATGTTCAGCCAAAATATAGTCATTTTCAGACAAGACCTCTGGGTAAAATCTGGATAATTGGCTATGGAGTTTACCCAGAGTCTGCCTTTCACACATGCACAACACAGCTGGACGTTTCTGCACAGATGCATTCACAACCGCATCAAATCATCCACGTTATTCAGGCGAGAGGTGGAGCTGCCGGGTGCTACAGACAGAGACAGGAAGTGACGTATTAACTCCGCAGCACCCCGACACCATCATCAGCTCTTATCACCACCAACTTTCTTGACATCTTTGTGGGTGTCCTCTACGTGTGTGTCACCGCATTTGTTTTTCTTTTTTTAATTTTTGCACCGGTAATGTGTTAGAAGCCCCTAACACATTTTATTTGTAAAAAGAAAAGTTGTATCTTAGTCTGCAGATTTAAAATCGGACCTAATATTCACCAAATATGCGAAGTCATCACATGTGATATATTGAATTTTTTTTAGAGGAATAGTTTTGAATATACATTTTGGTAAATATACTTATTTAATATTTTGATCAGAGTTAGATGAGAAGATTGATACCACTATTATGTCTACATGTAATGGCTACACGTCCTACTCAGGTTGTTTTCTTCCGGGAGGGAGGTTACGTCATGACCAAAAAAGATCCAATCAGCAAGGAGTTGTGAGCGTCCACGCCATTGTTTCCAAACATCTCAGATTCTGCCCGTTCAGACTATAAAACACAGCCTCAGAGTTTCCATATTAAAACAGGGTGAGCTGTGTTTCCAAACGTCTCGGTTTTAGCGGCTCTAAAACTCTGGAGTTAGTGAGGATGTCTCCTTAGTTACAGTAGAGGGAGCAAGGTTCACTGCCTCACCTTGTCTTCTGTCTTTATTCTAAACTAACACGTACAGACATGAGAGTGGTATCAATCATCAAAATTCAACCCTTCGCAGAAAATACAAATGTCTCCTGTATATTTTTAAGGAATATTTTGTTACATCCATTTACACATGTCACCATCTCACTCTTCTTCTCTGTCAAACATGAATTTATATATTAGTCAAATTATGTTGTTATTTGTTTAGTTTTTTGTTTGTTTTTAACTCTTTTAAGACAAAAACTTGTTTGGAGAGTTGTCAAACTTTAAAAAGGTGACATCCCTTGCAGTGATGATGATGAAGATGTCCTCAAATTTGTTTGCATTTAAAGCAACACGTGCAGTTTTTCATTACGTACTAATCAGTGACACTGAAGTCAGACTGCAGGGACTGGCCACTGCTTGATGTATTAACCACATGCTCTCTTTCCAGGGGAGGCTGAAGAATGCTTCTCACAGTGATGTAAGGACTAAACCCCCTCAGATCATTCTGTCTCGTCTCTCTCCTCTGTGTCTCTGTCTTTCTCCCTCAGCTTCTCTGTCAAACAAAGCAATGGAAATATTGATTTTCTCTATTATCGCTCCGTAGTGTCTACATGTCCGTGAAAATCCCACTATCACATGCTGCCAGTACACTAGCTGCACTAACCACAGGTCATACAATTGAATGTCCTCAATGTGCAGACGTTTGCACTCAACCGCTCCTCAAAGCCCAGGTCAAGGAGCTCACTTCATTTGATTTGGATTGAAAAGCAACATGTTACATGAAAATTAAATGAAAGGGCGCGGTTCAGCTGCAGCATCACGAGGCAAAGCCACTGATGGTGGGCTCCTTGACTTGGGGTTATGGTGCATTTTGATTTTCTTGTCCATTCAGAAAATTTGGCAACACATTATTAATTTCATCCGTGCAGGTGCTTATTTTCTAACAGTGTAAAATAATATAACCTGGAGGGAGTTTGGATTATTGTTCCATGAACCTGACCGACTATATCTTAAGTATCTGAAAAACAGTTTAAATGACACAACACAGTTTCAAAGGTACATGCTTGTTTTTCTCTAGGTTTGACAAATAAGTGAAACTCCTATGCACATATTTGTGTATTTTGTTTCATTTTCTGCTTGTTTGTATAATTATTAAAACTTCATTAGGTGGGAGCCCCACACAGTATATTGTAAAACTTAACTTCATACGCAGAGCTGTGAACTAAGATAGGATTTAAAGAAGCAGTGTTGCAGTCCCAGTAAATACCTGTGTGTGTGTGTGTGTGTGTGTGTGTGTGTGTGCGCGTGTGTGCGCACACACGTTTTGTTTCTGATTGCAGTATGTGTACTTTCTTACCCCTGACATGAGCTGAACCACATTCCCTTCTCTTTGTACTGAAATGTCTCACACTGTGTGTGTGTGTGTGTGTGTGTGTGTGTGTCTGTGTAGCAGAGTGTAATGTTTTGGAAAGAATACATAAGTGTGATAACAGCACTTGAAGGAGAAAGTGCTTTGACATCTGTAAAGCGGCTCAGAGTGACTGTCTATGAATGTGTGTGTCAGAGACGTTCCCGTCCTCTGTGTGACACTAAGCCGTTTACTGCTGCCCCTTTTTGTCCTAATAATAACAACAACACTCTTCTCTCTCTCTCTGCCTGTCTACCTTTCTCTCTGTCCGACTCTTTCAGGGCACTCAGCTCATCTTTAACGCTGCCAAGGAGCTGGGACAGCTGTCCAAGCTGAAGGTACGATATGTTTTTACGCCACTGGGCTGTGGACTCCAATCACAGAGCAAATATGGAGCAGGGTATGAATGGACAGGCTGCTCACTTTGGTCAGTGCTTCTTTGTTGTCTTTAGGAGCACATGGTTCGTGAGGAGGCCAAAGCGCTCTCACCCAAGCAGTGTGCGGTGATAGAGCTGGCCCTCGACACCATTAAGGTAGGAATTCACTCTTACACATGCATAGATTTTGTCACATGTATGAAATGGAAGAACATAAAATGGAGTGATGCTTGCACGTTAGTAAAGGCAGCCAACTTAAGCTGTTCTGCTCAAATCATGTGACATGCCTCACTCCAATCCTCTCCACCATTCCAGCATCCACCTCTAGGCTCTGCCAGGGGTTATTTATCAAAGATATCTGCTGACCACTCACCATCATATAAATGTAACCATATCTGGGGAAGCAGTGAAGTCCTTAGACGCCAAACTCTAACTATGCTCTGCTGCTGTAAGAAACATTTTAAACATGAGTTGTCCGACTGAAAACACAGTTTATGCTTTGGTTTGTCTACAAAGCCAACAACATTAGACATCGCTCTGTTTTCTTGGATTTAAAACTGCCTTTGCTTCTTCAGGAACAATGTGTTTCAACTGTTTTAATTGTCTTCTATTTTGTCTCGTGAACATTAGCAATACTTCCATGCTGGTGGTGTGGGTCTGAAGAAGACTTTCCTGGAGAAGAGTCCTGACCTCCTGTCTCTGCACTACGCCCTGTCCCTCTACACTCAGGCCACAGACAAACTCATTAAGACCTTTGTCCAGTCACAGAACGCACAAGGTAAACTAATGCGCTTTACTCTTCATGACACTGCTCCCTGTCTGTGTCTTTGTAAGACATTTGATTCTCTTTATTTTCCTGTATCTTTATTTGCTCTATGTAAACTTCATTTTTAATGTTCTGTAATTCAGATCCTTATTATATATATTTTTTCCTGAGCTCTCTCTCAAAGGAGCCACTCTGCTCAGTATCTCCAGCTTCTTTGTTGATGTTAGGGTTTCCCAGTCGAGTTGAGGCTGTGTAGCCGTGCAATATTTTCTCCCTGCTTTGAAAAGCTGAGTCTCCCGGTAGCCAGCCTCTGGATACACAAAGATTATTCTTTACATGATCTGACAGCTATTTACGATGAAGAAATAAACACCCACCCACCGTCTTTTCTATCGCTCTTTCCTTCCGCTGCTCAGGCTCAGTCGCATCGTCAGATGGCTACATAACAGCCACCTTTGTGGAAGCACTGACATTGACACAGTGTCCCCGGGCTCCCTGAGTAGATGACTATTTAAAAAAACAAAATTGGGCAAAATGCTCTGCCGTTTTTGGACCATTCTGAAAATATACATTTCAATGCAATAGAACTGAGTGAGCTTTACATAGGACTGTCTTCACACTGCAGATCAGATGAAAAAGAATCAGTTCAGGAGAAGTAACTCATTAGACAAAAAATGTAATGAATCTAATTGTGTAGATTCAACTAATTTAATTGAAATTCAGTGAAATAATTCTAATTTTATTGAGATAATTTAATATATTAATAAATCAAATTGATTTATCTTAATTTCATTAAATTCTCAAACTTAAATGAGTAAATTCAAATACATTAGTCAAATTTGCTCATCCTATTTTAATTGAGTAAGTTCAACTACAAAATAACGCATTAGATAAAAGACTTATTCATGTTGGTCTGTTTTCTCCTCTGCAAACCTCATCTTTCTACGTGTCTCTGCTTTCTCTGTCCACCCCTCCCTCTGCCCCATCTGTGGGCCAGTGTTCGGCGGGAAGGGGGTGAGGTTCACCACTAGTGAGGATGTTTACCCAGACAAGGGTATGTGACACTCGGGCTCAGGGCCTGAGAAATCCAGGACCACCAGAAAAGTCTCCAGACCAAATCCCAACTCCCTCCACCCTCCACCTCCCTCCCCATGTGCATCATGAAACTCCCCCCTGCCTGCTCGAACTCATCTCAGCAGACAAATGCATTGCACAGATGCAACATACTTCCTCTCTTCTTCGCTCTATCTCTGTAAACACACATGCCCAGCACAACAATAAGAATGTAGACTTTATGCATTCATGCATGTAATATACACACTGATGTCTGTATGTATGGAGCTGCACTGAATACATACGCCACAGACTGTATGTATGAGCAGACACTGAAGCATGATGTGCGGACATCAGACGAAAACAACAGAAATGCATTAAAGTGGAGGAATCCTGATCCAGCATGATGTCACCGTCAGCGGCCCGAGGGCCAAGCGTGTGTGTGTGTGTGCGTATGTTGAGAGCTTGTCACCGAGAAAAGCAATGTGACTAAGGGAGACTGTCCTCAAGGTTGCTGAAGCAGAGGTTCAGTGTATCATCCGTCCCCTGCCCCCCCTCCCCACGTTACTGCCCCTCCCCCTGTGTTTGAAGTGAAAGAAGTTGACGAAGAGGAGATTATGAGGATGATGATGACGACAGTTGGCTCAGTTTGTCTGGGAGGGCTCCCTGTCCCTGACTGCTGTATCATCACACACACACACACACACACACACACACACACACACACAGAGCTCCCACGTGCTGAGCCACCCTCCCTGCAGCAGTGATGAGAAAAGGGTGTTCGACTCACCCACCCTCCCTTCATCAGCTGAGCCAATCAGAAGCAGTCCCTCAGGTCATGTGGTTTGAGTTCTGTCACTTCATATTTGTATCAAAAAATTGACGCACAAACACACACGCAGGACAATGAAGAAGCTGTATCCATTCAGTTTATTCAAAACAATAACCTGTAAAATAATTAGGGGTTATGTTAAAAAGTGAGTGATCTAAGTTTAAAAAACCTTTATCAACCCAAAACAATAAATAGTTTTGGCTTCACAAATTAAACTGCAGCAGATTTTCAGCCTCTTATCTGAGCTGTTACCTGATAGGAAAGAAGAGTGATTCTGAGGCTTTGTCCTCCATACGATGGAGTATTAGAAAGAAGAATTGGATAATAATATAATACTACAAGAATAAAATCATAATTTGATATATATATTTATTTATAAAACTATCAGACGAAAGTTGTAAAGAAGAGTAAGAAAAAAGTCATAATTTAGTTAAATTCTCAACATTACAAGAGTAAATTAGTTAGTTGACAAAAATAAGTCATAATATTACAAGAAAACAAAGACAAAAACATTTTGGGGAAATATCAGCAAGAACCTGTGCTCAAGTATAACTTAACAAGATGCTCTATATTCCTAATTTTAAAGCAGGCTGATATTGACCCTGTTATTCATTATGACTTTATTCTCATATTTCGTTTTTATTCTCATAAATGTATGACTTTTTTCTCATAAAATAAAAACTTTATTCTTGTAAAATCATGACTTTACTCTCAAAATCTCCAATGTTCTAACCTTTAAGCAGCCCTCTGTCGTAATGTTTTTGTACATGCAAACGTTGGATTTAAGATTTAAGATTTACGTAAGCACACTGTTTATTAGTCTAGAACAAACATTGCTTGTTTAGTTGTCTCTAGTTTTGGAAAGCAACAATAACATTAGTGTTTTTTGGCTTCTATTTCTATCCACTCTTGTGTTTTAGGCGTAACATACAACAAATCAATCAGACAGCCATAGAATCCTTATTTATTCTGATTAAGATTTGTAGTGTGGTTTAAAGTAAGCACCTGTGATTGGTGTGTTTGTATAAGAAGAAAAGCCTACGCCTCCCTGGCAACACCTTCCTGCCTCCCCAGCCAGCAAAGTTTTCTTTTTCATCTTTTATGGATGTCCTCCAGTGTAGACAAGGCCAGATGGATGACTGCTGCTCTCTTTGGTCCCGTTGGCAGCGAGACCAACAATCCCATAATGCTCTCCAGGGAGATGCAGAGAGCTGCATGCCAGGAACATTCTGCCGTCTAACTCCCACACCTTGTTTAGTGGGCGGCTGGTAGAAAACACACACGCACACACAGGCTGTTGGTCGTCGCCACAAAGATACCGGTGACAGAATGAAGTAGCTAATTAAAACATTTAGAATTAATGTCCATCTGTCACCGTATCCTTCTGGAGTTGTATGGTGAAGTTAACCACAACATAACCACACCGAGACATTGAGGGAAGATTTGACCACCATGTCCCTCCCAGACAAAAGAGCTGGAGCTCTTCGTCCTCTTCACCCTGAAACAGTGACAGCCGCTAAAAGTAAATAACCCAGAGGACCCAGAGCCCAGGATTGAGCTATTTTGAATGGATGGTGCAGACGTGGAATAACTGAAATACATATTATATTAATTCAGGGTTAAAACTTAAGGATGAACTTCAGACTACATCCTTCTGCATTCCTAACCATATAGTCTGTAGTATGATGAATATGTGCCCTGTCACATGTATTTTGTGAGCTGGATGTTATTAGTACCATCACTCACTGTCAGAACTGAGAGGCTGAATGACTCCTCTCTCCTGTTAGCTCCTTCCCTCTCTCCTGCCCCTCCTCTGACCATGTAAACATCTCTACCAAGGAATGGGTGTGTCCATCTGAGCATGTCCTGACCTGATCTACGTCAGGGGAACCAACCACTCTCTCAGCTTCTCTTTGTCTTCCTCCCCCTCTTCTCCATCTTTCTCCTCTTCTTTCTCTTTTCCTCTTCTTCTTTGTTCTGTTCTTCTTCCTCCTTTACTTCCTCATATTCCTTTTCTTTTCCCTCTTTCTAATCTTCCTCTCACTCTCTGTCGTCTTCTACTTCCCTTTCTCTGCCTCTTACTAACCTCTCTGCATCCGCACAGACACTATGCATCTATGAGTGGGCTCACATTACTCTTCCTCACTGGATCCACATTGTTATCTGTCACCCACTGAATCTGTTCCTGGGCATCTCACAATGCAAATTGCACACTGCATTAAAACACTTGAGCCCACTCATAGCAGCTTTGTCTGATTGATCACTTCCAGACCACAACAATCACACAAACAGATCACTGTGCCTTGTTTTAAATTCTCCTGTTCCACAGTGATTATTTCAAAAAAAGAAATATCTGTCGACTATTTTGTGTACTATCCACAGGGTTATAGCTGAGTCCATTCCAATGTGAGGAATTGAAATGGAATTGGTCTGTTACCTTGTTTTCTATCAGGGCACAGAGGCTGGTGTTGCTGTTTGGTCGGTGATAGGAGCTCAAGCAGTTCATGTTTGCAAATGCAAGTGTGTTAATGAAGTGTGTCCTGTCCGCACTGTCAGGCTCCGGAGTGGACGATGCTGTGGGGGAGGTGTCCATCCACGTGGAGATTTTCACTCACCCCAACACTGGAGAGCACAAGGTCACAGTGAAAGGTACAAGGAGAATGTTCTCTGTTCTTAAATTGAAATAGATCAGCTTGAATGTTTATTCTTGACACTGTATTGACACTATTTGATGAAGACAGTCCTGCATCGAGTTCCACCATCTTTTTCAAGAACTTTCATGATGCATGACAATGTTAAAGACGTAAAGACGTTAGCAGGTTAGCTAGTCAGCTAGTCAGCTGTTTTTTCTTCCACTTTTATGCTCGTAATGATCACGTTTATTTATTGCTATTTGCTGCGTAACGTGAATAAAACTTTATTACGCAACATTATCCGTGAACATGATAACGTCTGAGTCATGTCATTTTTATCATCGATTATAGTGAAGACGACAACTCCCATGATCCCACGCTGCTTCACAACATCATCAAACTAGATATTTTTTCATATTCATTTAAAAAAATCCCATAATCAGTCATTTCCAACTATTTTTGACAGACACTTGTTACACTTTAAAGTGAAAATGTGTTTCTTTTAATGAGTTCAATCCATTTCACATGAGGATATTAAATATTCGCCCCATTGCATATTTTACACCCAAGTCTTCAGCGGAACAGATGATCAGCAAGAAGTCAAATGAAAACATGGTCTAACAGAAAATTTGAAATAATAGTTGTTAGTTTTCCAGTGTCCAGTGCAGGAATAAATGAGTGCATTATAAGTGCAGGTATACATGAGTGCATTGGGAACTTGTTTTATTGCCATCCTAGGACACAGGCATAGAAGCCAGCATCCAAAGAAATATACAACTTTGTCAGACAGAATCAAATTCCAATGCTACTTTTATTGTCCTGACAGGAATCTGAGTGTGAGGCCTGAGGGAGAGCCAGTATTTTGTTCTTCTAAATTTTCTCTCTCTCATCACATTTTCACACATTTACTCCACAAAAAATGTTTCGCTCTCTCACCCACACTTTCCCACCCTCTCCCTCTGTCCCTGTCTCAGTCGTGGCTGCCAATGACCTGAGGTGGCAGACGCAGGGAATTTTCCGGCCCTTCGTGGAGGTCTACATCATCGGCCCCCACCTCAGCGACAAGAAGAGGAAGTACGCCACCAAGTCAAAGAACAACAGCTGGGCTCCCAAATACAACGAAACTTTCACATTGTGAGTAATTGACGACAATAATGACGATAATAATTACCTCTGCAGAGGAAGTTATGTTTTCGTCTTGTTTGTTTATTGTTTGTTGTTGATGGGATTATGCAAAATCTAGAATCCATTAATTTTCTTAAGTGTCCGGATCAGGGGCCAAGATATTTAATTGTTAGATTTTTCAAAATTGTTTTGTGATTAAGAGAATAATTCATTGATCTTGATGAAAAAAATCAGGCACATTTAGGGGACTAATATTTATGAGTTTGTGCAATACGTTGCAGATGCAAATAAAGATCTGGACCTAGTGAATTAAAATGTGGTTTCACTGTTGGCAGAGGTATGCACTCATCTCTTTCCTCCACTGCAGCACCCTGAGCAGCGAGGCGGGTCCTGAGTGCTACGAGCTGCAGGTGTGTGTGAAGGACTACTGCTTCGCCCGGGAAGACCGCACCGTGGGCATGGCCGTGTTGCAACTGAAAGACATGGCCTCCAAGGGCAGCGTCGCCTGCTGGCTGCCTCTAGGTAAACGCATCCACATGGACGAAACGGGCCTCACCGTGCTGCGCATCCTCTCCCAGCGCAACAATGACGACGTGGCCAAGGAGTTTGTCAAGCTCAAGTCCGACCAGCGCTCTGCCGAGGAGGGCCGCAGCTAAGTTGCAAAAAAAATATTTAAAAAAAGACTGTTTGGAACCTGAATCAGATGTCACCACATGCTGCCCTGGAGCTCTCTCCTGAGCCACTGCTAGCCACTGCCCTGATGATCCAGTGTTGTAAAGCACAGATAAGACAGTCACCACACACCCAGTGCTGTAAGTACATTCATTTCAGTGGGAAAGACGTAGAGCTGAGCAAAGCATCACTTTCACTTTGTTCTTTAAAAAGCAGCCCCATTCTTCATTGTCACAGATATCAACCGTCCTTATGAAGAACAGCACATACACTTTAATCATAGAGCATATATCTACCTTCTATCTATAAAGGTGAGTCATGCTGTTCCATAACCAATGGCATGACCACCCACCCACACATGCCCAGATTCTTCCGGTTCCTCTCCTCCCTCCCTGGCCTGCACCCGCTCAGAGAAGGGACCGCAAGTGCCAAGAGCTAAACGCTGAAATATCCCGAGAGCAGCCCTAAGCACGATGGAACCAACTGACCCATTAACAACACACAGCCTCACACATTCCAGATATTATGGAGGGGAACAAAGCACTATTTATTTTTATTTACAGCTTTATTTTGAATTATATTTATATTTGGATATCATTATAAATATAGTATAATATATGAAGGACATACTTAGAGTTGTAAGGGATTATTCAATGGACGTGTGCTACTTGAAAAAATAGTCCTCGTTTGTCTTTCTGTCCATCGACCTTGTAACAGAGCACACTGCCTGACACCCTCAATGCCTTCTGTCCTGTTGACCCTCGCACATATGGTATTTGCTTCTCTTATACAGCAACTGTATGGAGACGAATCTGATGAAAACACACCTGCAGGTGTGTGTGTGTGTGTGTGTGTGTGTGTGTGTGTGTGTGTGTGTGCGTGTGTGTGCGTGTGCGTGTGCGTGTGATCTGCATTTGTAGTAAATTCTAATGTCGACCTCATGTAGCCGCTCGTGTTGCCTGTTACCTGCAGATGTAATCACAAAGCCATCACAAACAAAGAGCATCACACAGAGGAGTGTTTTCTTCATACTCTTGCTTGATTATGACGAGATTATTGGACTTTAGGGATTATAAAACCTTTATATTCTGATGGTTATTCCATCTTCTTTGTGTTACTGTAAACATTCCACAACGAGACGGCTCTAAACTGGGTGTGTGAGAGGTGAGAAACTCTACCAAATCAAAATCAGCGCGTAAGAGATGATAAAAACAAGTTCCCTGAGACCTTATTTTTCAGAAGCAACCTCCCGTGGGTTAGAAAATGACACCGCCTGCCCCCCAGGGAGAGCACAATCGTTAATGATCCTACTACCCATCATTCCCTAAAGATACTGCCACAGGTGCTGCAACCCTATTCCCTGATATAGAAGTCAGACCTCTGCTAAAGGGCTGTAGATCCAGACCACACCAGGGTCTGGTCCCTACACTTAAAAAGAGGGCCTACGGTTCAATCTGTTGCTCTAATCAGTGGAGAGAGAGAAGCATGGAGATTTCAGAAGCACAAGGTCGTCGCTGCACCAATTACAACACGTTTATACTGAGCTTGTCCATCAGTGATTGTTTATAAAATTACATCATCGTCATGTGGAAATAATTGTAGTGAAATGGCCATTGACTGTCCAGCATGTCACTTCTATTTTCAGTGAATGCCCCATTAAAAAAAAAAAAAAAATGATTTGCCTGTTTAAGGTTTATATGCTTGTAGTGATTTTAAAAACAGCATCCGAATGAGGAAATGATGATCAGGGTCAACGTGTAAAAACGACAGGTTGTATGTTTCGTTGTTCTCTTCCTGCCTCTTTGTTACATCGCCCCTGACGAGTGCCTCTCCCAAACAGAGCGCTTGACGATAAATTAATAATTTAAAAGACGCCCTTCTTTTTTGAACAAGGTGTAATAACTGAACTCTATGCATTTAAATCTAATATACAAATCTATGTAGATGAGTCATTTATGAAAAAGTCTTATAATGTTTACATTGTGGATTATTATTCTGATTATATCAGCACAAGCGTTTGTCTGATATGTTGTAAACGCTGTCTATATTGTAACAGGCCGGATATAGCGGGTATAGTCGAGCTGATCAGAGCTGCCACTTGTTTGTACAGCGTCTCAGCGCAGATTAGAATAATCTGGAACAGAGAAAGATCGATGTCGGTGTTTAACAGAGTAACAGACACAGGACTCAGACTATGTGAAGTGAAGTTTGCTGCTCTTTTGTAGACTTGAATTTTACTCTGGGTGAATGGGCAGTTGGGAAATGATGTCTGTGTGTGTCTGTGTGCGTGCGTGCTTGCGTGAGAGAAGGTGCCCATTCGGGAAATGTAGCTGTTATTAAGAGTTATATTAAGACTGCGTACACACAGGATAAGATGATGAAACAATATGTACAAATCTGATAATGAGCTTGTTAAACTGCTGCAAAAAGGAAGAAGTGAGGAACTGAATCTAAAGAGTGTTGGTGTGTACAAGGACTTTTCCTGGAAGGGAACATCTGCACATTCTTTTAAAAACTTTACATAACAGGTAAACAACCGCCACATAGCAGGAAATGCCACGAAAATAAATCTTTATTTATTGCTGTTGACAATGATACTTTAGTGGAGGAGGCTCTGGTGTAATCGGGCTGGCATGAGACACAGATGTTAATGGAGGATAAATGTAAAAGCACAACAAAAAGCACAGACACAAAGTCGACAGACATGCATGATCTGTCCTGTTCTGTCCAGAGGGGCGGCGGCCACACAAGAAGGGCACCTGCGCCGCCATGCCGGTTCCTGTACTTCCAGAAATGGTGCATGATAGGAACAATAAAACAAAAAGGAAAAAAATATTACTGTGCCAGCACGCATTAATTATTTGATGTTAATTGCCAATCGTTGTCTCCTTTATTTTGTAATATTTCCTTCTTGTTTTCTATTTTTCAAATGGTTGTGAATATATAAATATTACTGATGATGTGTAGTGGTACAAAGTACTCGCATGGGAATTTTTTTATACACGAGATGTTTCTAATTTTTTTTTTTTAATATTCTGGTTGTTCTTATTGGGGGTTGATTGGGGCTGATGTCCCACTGTGTTTCTGCTTCCAATAAAAGATGAAAAAAAAGCTTCAGTTCATTGCTTGTTTGTAAAGATGTAGCTCCACTTTTCTTTTTCTGAATAAATAGATGCTTCATTTGGAATTTATCCATTAAAATAAACTTTTTCTTCCTTGTCCCTATTAGCATTCATGCCATTTTAAACACCGGTTAATTAGCTGAGGTGACCACTGACCCTGTGTGGCATCCACTGATAATTAACAGGTTAATTGAACAAATGTAGGTCCCTGAAAATAAAAATGGAAGAGGAATTAAATTCACAACACACCCTGTTAAAAGTGATTAATTTCACTAAATCCAATATGTAGGCAGTGACACTGAACCAAAGAGGCCAGACGTCCTGTTTTCTAGACTCTGCGTAGAAAGGAAATCTTGAGGGTGTCTGGGATGACTAACTGCTCAGCGTGGAGGCTGGTGGGAGGCGAGTACGGGAAAGTGACAGGAAACACTCGTCTCACATCCAGTAAGAGCAGCGGAGGCTGAGAGTCAGAGCGGCCTTTCAGAAGCCCCTAAATGAGAGCGAAGATAAAGACGACTTGCATGAGACGCATAATTCTAAAATGATAATCAAAGATGTGACAGCTGTGAATCTGAACTGTACCTGGACGGTACGGATGAAATTCAGTGTGACCCTTTCTTCCAGGTCACTGTGAGGAGTGTAGAGGGTCAGAATCTTCACTATCTGTACAACGAAGAGAGCAGACAGTTATATAAGTATTTGTTTCTATCGTTAATAAAAAATATTTTGTGCAACACAAATACAAAACATTTCTTTTTCTATTGATAGCAGATGATACAGAGCCCCACCTGCTGGCTGGACAGTGCACTGCAGGTCTGAACGAGGGCCCGTGCCTCCGCCTCACTTTTTTTCCCAGTCTGCAGAAGCTGAACTGCTTGGATCAGAGGCTCCAGCGTGGCCACAGCGCCCCCTGCCTGCAGATTACGGCTACGCAGCCACTCCTCCAACAGGCTCACATTGTATCTGCAGATCAGGAGCAAGATAATTATCGATTATTTCAGCGTTTCATTTACAATCAATCACACTCACTGGTACCAGCTTCTCAAACGTGATGATTGGTGCTTTTCTTTGTCGTGTAATATAAAAGACATATTTTATCTATTTTTTTAAGTGAACATCACAGAGAGATTACTTTAATTTACTTTAAATAAACTGAGAAATAATCAGAGCTTTGCTGGGTTTCACTTTGTCGGGAACAATGTTTTCACTGTATGAATGTGGTTAATGGACATAAATCAGACCTCTGAAAACATGAGTTAAAATCCAGTAGCATGGAAAGATATTGTCAAATCTAAAAACGAATTGATATTTTTAGAGCAGTAACATGAGACAGTATATGAATTAAGGGCAGTATCTATATATCACCTCACCATATAGTGATATATACATTTTGTGGAGATTTAAAATTATTTATGGATCAAAATAAATAATGGGAATGTTTGTTCATTGAAATTAAACACCTTCATTTTGAGCTACTTGATCAGAGAAATTAAAGAGGTCTACCTTTGTATAAATTAGCAAAAAATATGTCAGCAAGTTCTCTGTGTAGTTCAAATGAAGTTGCAGTTCAAATATGGGGAAACGTTCATATGTATGTACAGTATACAGTATGTGTGTATTAATACCGTATTTGCATGCCCCGATTCCAGGAGCATATGTCCTTCCGCAGCAGCAGGCAGTTCAGAGCGGAGGCAGAGATGAGGTATGTGAGCTGGTGAAAGGCCTGTTCCATCAGCGGTGCGGGCAGAGCCTGATGGGTCATTGCGGTGTGAAGGGCTCCCAGCTCCCTCAGCACAGACGCCATGGTGGGAGCAACACCTGCTACAGTCCTGGGGTCCGAGCCGGCTCGCTTCCTGGATGCTCCCAACTTCACAGCTGAGCCAGAGAGACCGGGGATGGTCTCAGACTCCAGCATGGCGGGGACTGAGGGAGAAGAGATTAGCAGCGTGTGAGTAAGCAGGAGACTGAGGCACTAGCATGAGTATCATCCTCAGCGTATAGTGGTACCTATGATGTTCTGCAGGCGTGTCTCAGTGATGGAGAGGAGCTGCTGATAGGCCTGGATACAGAGGTCGCTCAGGGCATGAGTCATGTTGCTTAGGTTGTTCGTCAGTGGAACCCGGTCAGCTGAATCAAGGGACTGCAAAGTAATAAATACATTCACATCGTAAAATATATTGGGAATTTCTCTATGAAACCTTGATTTTTTACCACTTATTTTAGAAAGTGACATACAGATGTAAATGATAGATAGAAAGATAGATAAATAGATAGACAGATAGAAGATTTTTTAAAAATACAGAAAGCAGATAAAAATGTATAATTATAGATATAAGATACACTGCACAATCACACATTGAAGTATGAGAGTAATGTCAGTGTGTGCTCATCCTGCCTGTTTTGTGGAGTGCTGGGTCAGCAGGTCGTGCAACACACAAACGTTCTTCAGCCACAGAGCTGTCATGTCTATATTGTTGTTATGTTTCTGCAGGGACAGAAAAGAGAAGAGGTTATAATGTCACATAGAAATAAACGCTATACAGGGCTTTGTTGTGGTTTAGTTTCTCTACAGGAATCAGATTATTGCAGTTGGACTCAAAGGACAAAACTATTCGTGGCGATCACAGGAAAGAGTTTGAAAGTTATCTGTGCCTTTCTCTCAGTGAGTGACAATCTACCTGACGTGACATGAACTGTCCTCACAGATTCATCCTCAACCATCTGGTACAGTGAATCGGTTCAGAGCTCAGGTTACCTTCAGAGCTGCCTTCACAGCAGTGACAGCAGCGCTACAGAGCGAGCGAGCGGGAGTCTGGTCCCTGCTGCAGTCGGCCTGGCGGACACACAGGAAAAGCACGCTGGCAGGGAGACCGGGGGGCAGAGACAGGGCAGTGTCCACACGGATGTCTGGACGTCACAGACGAGAGAGAACAGCAACGGCACAGTGAACATGTCCACTTCATAACTGTCAGCTATTAGTTTGTGACTCAGGTAAAGCTACAGTACATAGTTGTGGTGTCTTGATGAGGTCAGACCATCACATACAGGACTGGAATCAAAATTTGCCTTGAAAAATGTATGATTTCAGAGAAAAAAACAGCATCAAACATTTAAAGCACCTTAGAAATTCTGGTGAAAGTGTACAAAAAGAGTCTCACCTGTGATCAGGTTCTTCATGAGCTTTGTTTCGTCTCTCTTCCTACACTCCAGCAGACCAGTGACGGCTGCTGCCTTCGGTTGAGAAGGACAGGACGAGATCTCTGCGGTCAAAGCTGACGGAAGAACTGGAAATTAAAAAAAACAGCACAATTTAAATGAATACAAAGATAAATACAATAAAACAAAAGTGGATATTTCAAAATGTTATATATTAATGTTCTGAAAAGTACATTATGCATTATTATTTTCAAGAGCAATATAAGGAAAGGATAGATGGTAAAAACAATAGATAAGAAAAAAAAATAAGAAAATTATATAATAATATATGTTAGTAAGTTATTCTTAAGATTTTAAAGAAAAATTACCCAAAAATTATTAATTCAAAAAAAAAATTAATGGACGAAACGAAGCATCACCTTGAGTGAGGAGTCGTCTGAGTGACGCAGTGTTTCTCAGCTCCTTCAGCTCTCTCCTCAGTCTCACACACTCTTGCTCTCTGGCCTCCAGCAGCTCCTGCAGCTCCTTCACACACAAACACTCACTCACATGAGGGATTTTGGGTTTCATCCTCGACCCAAGTGACTCACCATGAGTGCAACGGGAAAAAAGCTTTAAGTAAAACAGCATCACCAGCAGCCGATTGTGAGGGCAGCTACACTCCACAATACAATGACTCTTATATTGTTGGCTGTGGTGGTTATGTAAGAATGAAAAACTGGGAGAGGAGGAAAACAGAAGCAGGTAAGGATGGGAGCATGAGAGCAAAAACCAATCAGGGATCAGTTTATACTTAAACAGAGTCCTTCATGCTGACCACCTCCGTACCTGTGGCTGTGCAGCAGAGGACGAAGCAGAGGATGCTTGACGCCTCAGAGCCTCCAGCTCCTCCTCCCACTGACTGCGTTGGTTACGCAGCTGACTCTCCAGGAACCTGACACCCACAGAGGGCGAGATAAAACAGGAGGACACAGTTAATCCACCTCATATAAATCACAGCATCAAATCGACAGGGATGAGTCAGTGGTGGTGGACGGCTGACTGACTTGTTGGCCACTCGTACGGCGTCGTAGGCGTGTGCCAGGTCCTCTCCCCTCATCTTCACCACCGGGTCTTTGGCCACGTCCATCTTCTCCATCAACCAGTCCTGTCAGTGCAAACAAGAACACAGTGCAGAAAATATTAATGAGGCAGTAAAAAATTGGGATAGTTACTGATATACATATTTTTTTTAATTGGCAATGATAACTAAGATTTCATAATTAAAGCCTTTTGACAGAGAAATGTGTTTATGTGTTCATGGCTTGATATTTGTAAAGTTTTACAGTTTAACAATAAACTTAATATACGTAATACAAATATATAGAACCTGAATCACTGCAGCAGAGACCAGCAAACATAAACACAGATACTTAAATATCTGCCAAAGGCTCATTTCGTCAGATATTTATCACAACAGAAAAAGTCTTTGCATGTGTATGAAGCACATTTTTTGCTTGATGAATTTCTAGCACCAGAAGTCACAAAGAAATCACAGAGTATGACAGTGTGCAGGAGTTTTTTCCCCAACAGATACGTCAGTTGAGCCCAAGCAAAGACGAGGGTACAATTAGATATAAGACAAAATAACTCAACATATATGTTTTTTAAACAAAGTTTGTGACGTCCCTCTTTGACTCTTATATCCTCTCACCATCTGTGTTTCTGAGCTACACGCAGAGAGTGTCCTCTCCAGGCGGGGAGACGTCCCAACGACCCAGCGCACATCTTCAGTAGAGGGGAAGGCAGGCGGTGACAGGGAGAGAGGGGTGAGGGGCTGGGGTGACAGTCGGGTGGGTGAGGGAGGTTCAAAGCTCAGACTCTGGGTGGAGTCTGTCCTCCTGTGGCCACTGGTGCGCTGTCATGAGGAGAAAAAAATGGAGTTGAACACCCAAACTGTGTTAGTGTGGAATTATTTGAGTGTGTGTGTCAGTGAGTTTCTGAACCTCAGTGAGCAGACTCATCTCTCTGAGGTTGTCGTATCTCTGCTCCAGTCGGGTGAACTCTCTCAGGAGGCCCTGGTACTTTCTCCTCTCTTCATCCAGCTCCACCCTCAGAGCCTCACTCGCCTGGGACACAGCCTGATGGACACACTCTGCGCGTGCACACACACACACACACACACACACACACACACACAGAAGAAGAGGAAAGGGTTCAGAAACAGTTTGAGGAGAAAAAACTGAGAATAATGCAGAGTGTATGATGCAGCAAAGTAACTCACCTTCTTGAGCTTTTTCTTGTTCAAGTAAGCGAGCAGAGAGTTCTTCTCTCTCTTTGATAAAATCCTCTTTTTCTCTCTGCAGCGTTTGCAACTCCTTAAAAAATGAGGAAGAGAGAGAATTAGCGATTAAAACCTGAATTATTAAATATAAAATAAGAAAAGTAAAATATTCATTGTCAGACAGTGGTGGGATGTAAAGAAGTACATTTACTTGTTACTGTACTTAAGTACATTTTTCATGCATCTGTACTTTAGTGATAGAGATTTATTTTCAGGTACTTTTCACTTTTACTCCACTTGTTATATCAACAAATATCTGAGCTTTCCACTTCATTTTATAACGTAAACAATGTTTTTATATATTTATATATAAAATAATCGATAACTATTTTTTTACTGATCCAATTAGAGCAGGCACTTAACATTAGACCCCGCCTCCTGCAGCAGCAGCATCACTGCTGATAAAACACCATTAAGAAGAGGTCGAGCTATAATGATACTGTTGCATTAGGGAGACACTCAGCAAGTACTTTTACTTTTAATACTAGAAGTGCATTTAAAAGCAAATACTAACTTACTCAATTAATGTGGTACATTTTCAATTTTATTCGTCTATTTGTACTTTTACTTGAGTAAAATCTGTGAGTATTTCTTCCACCACTGTTGTAAGAGATGTTTTCTGTTCCCCTCTCTCGCCTACTTGTGTGAGCTGCAGGATCTCCTGAGCAGCTTTGTCCTCGGCTCTCCTCCTCTGCTCCACCTTCTTCTCACTGATGTCTGAGCAGGGCGGAGGCCTCTCGTGTTTCTGGGTCTCCAGCCTCTGTATGACCACCCTCAGAGCCTCCAGCTCAGCAGTGGCGGCCTCTCGCTCTGCATGCAGGGTCTCTCTCAGAGCAGCACTCTTTCTGGCCTGGACACATACAGACAATATCATGTGAATATGAAATGACATCTCAACACATATGTTTTAGAACTCAAGTGGATCCCATCAGTGGATCAGACCCACTCTGAAACCCTCAGCCCACCTCCTGGTCGGCTCGTAGCTGCAGCTGCATCAGTTTGACCTCCATGCCCTTGTTGAGCTCTCGGTACTTCTCCACAGAGCGGGCCTCGGTCTTCAGTTTCAGCAGCTCTCTCCTGGCAGCCCTGCGGCGCGCGCAGCACTGCATGAACACCACCGCCTCACGCACTCGCCTGTACGCCCGCCTCGCCAGCCACCCACGCACTCTTGCCTGGAGCAACACAGCGGCACGTTCTGCAACCAACTGAGGAGAGAGAATAGAGTCTAAATGTTTCATCAGTTCAGGTTATGTCCCTGAAGCTTGCTCCTTTAAACGGTTCAGAATAAGAGACTGTAAAAGACGCTGTAAATGGGCGAAAGAGGTTTGTTCTTTAACATCTATTAGGGAGGGACTGTGCTGACCTGTCTGTATGTGCGGCGTGCCAGTGTGCCCCTGGTGAAGGCCTGGATGGTGACAGTGGCCTGGCGGATCATGAGGAACAGCTGTCGGACCACCACCATGCGGTAGGTCTTCTGGATCACTACAGCAGCCTTGGTGTAGCGCAGGGTCTGGGCCAGTCTGACGCCAACATGACAAAAAAACAAATACTACTTAAATAAGTTTTGGAAAAATACATTGAGGAAGAACATGTGTGTGTCCTAGAGAAAAACCAACACGTGCAACATCTTGGATATAAATAAATGTGTATATTACTAACAGACAGGCAAATATGTTGTTTCTCGCCTCCTCACCGTCTGGCCAGAGCTCCTCTGCTGTATCTCTGGATGGTGACAGTTGCCCAGAGGACCCTGGTGAATCTGATCCGTGAGAGCCATCCTCTAACCCGGCTCTGGATGACCACAGCAGCCTCACGCAGCCTCTCGGCCCTCAGCTTCTCAAGGAGTGCCACCTGACCCGCCCTGAAAAATACCTTGGTCTTCCCGAAGCAGTACTGGTCCGGGTCTGAGATGATCTGAGGCAGAGTCCTTCGACACGAGGCTTGGGCCTGCTCCAGACTCTGAGGCCCTCGAAGAAGAACGCGGTACCTGCTGAAGAACTCCTCGTACGTCCATCTGGAAACAGATTTAGTTCAGAAGTCTGTACTTCAATATCAGTAAGAATTTTCATAATGTGCCTGCATTCAAAGTTGATAATATACAGTCCATTAATAAAGCAATTACACAACTTTCTTCTCTCACATTTCAGTGATGCTATTGTGTTTCCCAGGGACTGTGTTGATTTTACATGGTTGTTTGAGGAAACTTGGATAATCAAAACTTGAGATAATATTTTTTTTGTTTGTGAAAATGTTGAAAAAGGCCCAATCTCATGATGTTAGCAAAACAAAGGTGGAAAAAAATTCTTGCAACTGCCTTCTAATCTGAATCTGCCCCAAAATATAACGGGTTCTTCTTTGACCTCAACTTTCGTGGACATTCGTTCAGTTGTTTTTGTGTAATCTTGTTTACAAACACAGACCAACCAACAAATGGACAGGGGTAAAAACATAACCCCTTGGCAAAGGTAAAAATAGAAATCAAGAGAGCAGCAACTGAAAGAAGAGAAAGATAATCTGTTCATAATACAGGGGAATCAATTTTGAATAAGAGACACACAAAACAAAATGTGATATATGTAAAACATTCATAAAAGCTTTCCAATAGAAATGTTTTCAGATTATTAAGGATGTTGGAAGAGAGTGTACGTGTGATGAAGTGCTCACTACCTGGATGGAAAACCTGCAGCACTGATACGAATGGTCTCCAGGACTCCACAGGCTCTCAGCTGTTGCACTGTCCTCTTGGGGTCAAACCTAACACGGAGAAGATGTTGTGTGTCATTCAGTGTGTGCACCTGTTTCCAGTACAACACATCTTTAACACAAAAACATACTGCAAACAGACTGTGACTGTGAAGTGAGAGCTTACATGAAAGGCTCTTTGAGGTCGTTGGGTTTGATGCAGCGGACGTAGTGAGGGGTGGTGCTGTTGAGGGTGTCCATCAGCATCTGTAGGGACTGACGGAACTGACAGGGGCAAACACAGTCAGGCAAAGTGTAGTCAATATGAAGACTCGCTGTCTGCAGAAAAGAATGGAGAGAAGCACCAGTGAGGAAAAGCAGCTCACCTGGAAGCCCACAGTCAGTCTGTGCTCTCTTGTCGCTCTTTTCCCTGAGCGAACACTCCCATTGGCCACAGGGGACAAGTTCTCCTGCTGCTGAAACAACTCGGCCACAAGCTCAGACTGACACACACATCAACACACACACAAACACACGGGTTATTGATTCACTAGTCAAGTGGAAAATAAATAAGCTTGTGAAATTTGTCACGTTAGCACGTATATCTACCTGACTCGCTTTCATAATATTAACGAGCTCCTCATAGACTGTGTCTCGATTCTTGTTTAAAAATCCTTCACATTCATACTGCACCTGAAAAAGAAAATGACACAAACACAGCAGAGAAACACAAATAGTCATGACGACAGAATAAATCACCAGAGTTCTCATCCAGTTCATACAGTGGCCCTGAAGAACAAATCACAAAACACAACATTAACCTCTAACTGTGACTGACAGTGATTGGATCTACGCACTTTTTTCTTGTTTTATGATTTGCTGCTGTGAAATGTTTTATTTGTCATTGTTCTTCTGATATTTATGTTTTTTCCTTTTCATTTGTGTTTTCTTATTTGCTGTGGTATTTTCTATATTGCTGTTATGTTTTTCAATTGCCATTTGGTTTTCTTGTTAGCTTTAACTAATTGAATTGAGTGAGGAGTGTCGACCTTCGTCTCTCACCATGTCAGCAAAGTGCAGAACGATGAAGGCGCTGTTTGACATGCGGGGTTTCTGGAAGTGAGGGTGGGGCTTGCTGGTCATGTGTTGGTCGTACAGCTTCTGCACCCAGCTCTCGTCTGAGCCTTTAGGCATCTGATGATAAACAGAGACTATTTTCACACCACAGCTTGATGGATTATCAGTAAAGCCAACTGGATTTCAGAAGGACCTCCGTGAATGTGAATGTAAATGTGATATTAACACACAATATTAAATGTGACTAGATTGTGAATGGAACATGTGGCCTTACATAGTGACAACATTCTGTAGGTTTCTGTGAAATTTCAGGCAGAAACTTTGGACAACAAAGAGACAATCAGCCCACTAGTTTTCTCATTACCCTGCTATCTAATGCAGACGAAAACATACAACCAAAAGAGAGAGGGGGAGAGAGAGCATGTCTGACCCTGCACTCCTCATCTAACAGATCGAACAGGCCCAGTTGTCCCTCGACGAGGTTGATGCACTGCTGATTGTCACTGAATTCAATCTTGCTCCAGGCCAGCTCCTCCCGGACATACTCCTCCTGCTCCAAGTGGAACACGTGCTGCAGAAAAACACATCACATATTTTAAAAAATATTTGCAAAAGATTAAGAAAGAATGAGTAACATGCATGTGTTGAGAGTGCATTATGCTGTAGAACTGAAGACAGAATGTAACATCTGTGTTTAATGAATTAAACAGTGTAGGAGTTAGTGGCAAGAGGTGACAGGCTGGATTTAATGAAGATGGTGACAGACACTGAAAATCATTGTGCTGCTGACATGTGAGAGTCCAGTGCCTCTGATTGTAAATACAAACACACATAAAACCTCTGTGAGTGACTTACCCTGTTAAACTGCTGCTGGAGCTTCTCGTTTGCATAATTTATACAGAACTGCTCAAAACTGTTCCGATCAAAGGTCTCAAACCTGCTCCGAGACAAAGACTCGTCAATTCAACTATACGCTAAATGTCTTTGTTTGTTTAATGCCACCAAGCCAGATCACTCACCCATAGATATCTAGTACCCCTATGAATGATCTGGTCTGTCCCCTCTGGGTGCGCAGGGCAGAGTTAAGTCTCTGGACGGTCCATGTGAACAACTGGCCATAGATGTGTTTAGCCAGAGCATCTCTGGCCTCTACGGCCTGCTGCCCAGACCTGGGTTTAACCAGCATCTCTCCCCCCACAGCCAGCCTGCGATGACACAGCCAGTGAGCCATCTGAGGTCCCTCAACCCCAAGTAGCTTGGAGAAGACGGCCAGGGAGCGTTCATCTCCCTGGAAGAGATAAAGAGGAAGGTACAACTGCTTCAATGATGCACTTATTGACAGATATGAGGAAAATGTGTTTATAAAATAACTGAAGCCATGGGGGTGGGAAATCATAAAGTACAATAGTAATAAATGCCTTACATCTATATAACTCTTATCAGAATTTCTCCCACTGGATTGGATGTTGACATTTCCCAGGTGTAGAATAGCTGAGAGGATCCTGAAGAGCTCCATCTGTTGGTCAGGCTGCACACCTGCAATTTTGAGAAACACATCAAGCTGTTTTGTTATATCTTCATAACTAAGGACAGTTAAATAAAAATCTTATAATAATAAATATATTTTTATTTATATTTTTATATATATATATATATTCATACACACACATATATGTGTGTGTGTGTGTGTATACTTGAGGGGATGTTTTTATGTTTGTGTGAGAAGTGCTATATATATTAAGTTTTTATTGATTGACTGTAAATGTGCAACGTGTGAATTTTAATACTCCATACCCAGGATGGTGAAAGCATTGCGAGTGCGCTCCAGGTCTGATGCATCATCAGCACCAGGAATCTGCATCTCTCCTCCCTGGTTGGTGTAGCAGAAATTCTCAGGTGCATCTGGGAGTAAGTAGATTTAGCCTCATCACTCTCAGGCGGCTTGTGACATCACGACAGTATACACACAGTGTATCATGTGAACGTGGTTCAGAGCGCCGCCTGTGATTAAGTCTCACCCAGTTTGAGGGATCTCATTTCAGGCAGCTGTCTGGAGGCACACAGCTGGTAGAAGATGTGGTAGTTCCTCTCCGAAGAAGCCTTCCATACAAACAAATATCAGATTATGTATGTATGTGTATGCGGGGAAAAAAAAGAAATGTCTTTAGGTCTGTCTGTCTCAGGTGAGTCAGAGTTTACCTGGAAGACAACCCGTGACTTCTCCAGTAGATACGTCCTCATTTTAGCACCAATGATTTCGCCCTTCCTGCCAAAGCCGATCTCGATGTATTTCCCAAAACGACTGCTGTTGTCATTTCGAGTGGTTTTAGCATTCCCAATGGACTGTGGGTAATGATGAAAATTATTTATTTTATATCTTTATATAACATCCCAGAATGCAACTAAGAGTGGTGAAAAATATCCCTCCTCACCTCCATGATGGGGTTAGAAGCTAAGACTCTCTCCTCCACACTGGTCTGCTGGGCTGCTCCTCCGACCACAGCAAAGTATCTCATGGTGAATTTGGCTGAGACCGTTTTTCCTGATCCTGACTCCCCACTGATGATGATCGACTGGTTTTTCTCCTCCCTACCAACATATTTATATATCTCATACACACTCATATCTGTTAGTGCAGGTTCAAAGTACACTATTAGTGATAAAGTATATGAAATAATAACATTACACTGCACAAGGCCAACAAACACTCCCATGGCCTGGGATCATTCAGGTCTGACCTGGTCATGGTGCGGTAGGCCTCCTCTGCCACTGAAAAGATGTGAGGTTCCATGTCGGCCATGTCCTGACCACTGTAAGCATCGATCACCTCCTCTCCATAGATGTGGAGCTGGTCATAGGGATTGATGGCCACTAAAACAATACCTGAAACATGAGCATCAGCATGAGTGTGCTAATATATAAACAGAGACAGTGTCACAAATGGGGCATGGATAAATCATCTCGCCTCCTCATTCAAACCATCTACAGCAAAAAGATCCAAAATGTCCTTTATTCCACAAGCTATGAAGTAAACATGCAGATGAATATAGGATATCCAGCTGGTCCAGACCAAATCTATGTCAATACAGAGCTTCTTGGCGTTGGTTATGTGTTGTTTTTATGTTGGTGTGTGAAAATGCTCTGTGATTATTGCAGCAAAACAACAAAACAATTTCCCTACAGGGACAAATAAAGAATCAATCTATCTATTCTGAGAGGACTTATACATACGACACTATACACAATGGACAGAGAACTTCGATGAGTATAATGTATATTTACACTTGTACCTCACTGCAGAAAAGTGGGGTCATCAAAAACAGGATTTTCAGAGGCAGTATACTATATTCTTGACACAACTAGAAAGATGTAAAGAAAACTAAAAACTAATTTGGTGTGAGTGTGAGCTGTGGAGCATATTTCTTACAGTTTACATCATAATCTTTATGGTTGATAGGATTATTATAATAGTCAGGGTATATCTATATGTTTATAATTATTCAAACAGAATCACATCACGCTTCCTGTTTCCAGCAGTTTGCCTCTGTACATCTCAAGAACACTTACAGGTACATTGTCCCCATTTCCACTGTGACAGTCATTCCTAAGATTTTCATAAATCTCCCGCTGTCCTCTCCCACCATCCGTTACATGCTCACCACAGTACGTGTAGATGCTGCTGTAGTCCAGGAATCGAACCCGCAGGTTGTGCAGGACAGCCGGCTCATGGAGGAAGCTGAGAGCCGTGAGATCGTTTTCCCCTTCCAAGATGTCAGGGTTCCCCAACGGTGGGAGATCAGCAGGAGAACCCACTGGGTAATGCATCTCCTATCAATAGGAAAGGAAGTCAGAGGTCTTTTTCTGAAAATATTGGGGGATGTTGATAGTTTCATGTGTCTCACCTTTCCATTAGAGAGCTGCAGCAGTAGATGTTTCTCTCCAGGAACGTAATCCTGGAGGAGTTGGGCTGACACCCAGACTGCATCTGGATCAGGAATCCACACACTTGCCCTCTAAAGAAGAAACAGACAATGTGTTAATAAACTTTTATTACACCAGATTGAATAATAAAAATGGAAACATGTTGAACACCCTTCCATATCCTACAACAACGTGAAGTCTGGGAGAGAAAACCCTTTCATTTCACTTTACAGCACTGTTCCGGTACATGTCACACTTCCTGGCCTCACCCCCACAGATTTGTTACCCATCAGCATAAAAGCCTCCTAAACACTGTTAAAAATTAACAGTAGTCATCCTCCTCTAAATTGCCTGCATGGATTAGTTATTATCTACGTCCAACATTTCTAATTCACGTACTAATAGGTCAGTTTTAACCCACATTCTGATCAGTACAGTTTTAAAGATTATCGACCATTGTTCACAGAAATGAGAGAAGAAACTACCAACATTTTTGTAGATGTTTTTTTAACAGCAGATCTATTAACTATTGGCTGAAGAACATAAACAAAGAAAAGCAATGATTTTGATATTAAGGTAAGAGTCTATGAATGTACATAATTGGAAAGGACTCACAAATACACATTTTACAAGTGTTTTAAATATCATATCATTACTCATCTTTAAAAGGACATGAAAATGGTAGATTCTGCAGCATAGAATGATGATTCAAAAATGCAAAAAGAATTGACAGTCAATTCAATTCAGTCTTACCTTACTGTATAGCTCCAGTGTTGCCATATCGACTACTTTAAAGCGTGTGCAGCGATTTAACTTTGAACATCAGAAAGGCAGGAGGGTTGACATGAAGACACCAGTTTATCCTCTGCTCATCTGCGGAGCCACTGTCAGTGCAGGTGACAGTATTTTGCACTTTGTCCACTTTGCACATAAAAGCATAGGCACTGTCAAGTTAACTGTTAATCTGTGGGAGGATGCTGAATGGAGATGTTTGTCCATTCTGACTTATTCCTGCAAGGCAGGGGAGCTTTTAGACCACCCTACTTAGTGAGGGGGTCAGATAGATCTAAACACAGAGTGCATACACCCACCAATGCTCAACAAGCCCCTTTTTAACATTTAATTTTACAAGATCCAGATTTGTATTCAGATCTGCACAAACTTCCACACAATGTGTAAGTACCTGGATCCACACAAATGAAATGGGTTCTTCCCTGGCCCATACTGCATCCTTCCACCAACTATAGTTGAAATTCATCTTGTAGTTTTTGACCAATCTTGCTGAAAAGACAGACAGAAACATAACCTTGGCAAAGGTAATAAAATCATGAACGTGCAGACATTTTTAAAAGAGAAAATAAAAACACCAACAGCAGATTTACGGACATACTGACTCACTTTAATAAGTAATACAATCAAATTCATTTCAGCAATCAGCCTGCTGATATCGAAAAGGGAATTTTAATAATGTGAATCTAATTATTCACCATCAAACTTTGACATACAGGGAGACAGAATAAAATAAATCACTATTACTCTGATAATAAATGAAAGGCATTAAAACTAAAATCTGTCATTTGCTGTCACCAATTTTGTGCATGTGTTTTCCGAGGAGGCAGCATGTGTCTGTGGTAATGTTGACACACAGAAACAAAGCCTTGGCACCTAACAGCAATGTT